GCCGCTCGCATCCCTGACCTGGCTGAAATCCCCCTTTCCTCCTCCTCTTTTTTGCCAGCTGCTTTTGGCCCACTTCTTTTTCGGGCCGAGCGAGAGGGGTATGGCCTGCTCGAGAGAGACAGGGAGAGAGCTCTCGAGTCGTAGGAGAACCTGAACCTGTCGCTTTCTATTACTCCGAACGAAAATTTCGCACAATAAATTGCGTTTTGAGGTCAAGCGAATTAAACTCACCAATTGCCACGCCCACAATTGGTCGTCACAACTTGTTAAATACAATTAGATCAACAATTGTGACTCAGAGGCAATAAATTGGGACTTATTTATCTATTTTTTTACGTTATCGGAGTCAATACATTTCGATTGCAGCATTTCCTCGGGAAGTGACCTGAATTCCAGTTTGGTTCCTTTTAAAAGTTGCAAAAGTTTATAATTTGCATTTTCGTTATCGTTAAATAAATGCAGCCACTCTTCACCCTCCTTCTTTTTAGACTTTTGATGTCTGTCTGCTCCATTGTGCAAATATAATTAACATAACGTAAAGTAATCGCAACTTTTAAGCAAAGAAAAACGAAAATAAAAATCTTCGTTTAACTTTCTTTTGTGCGACGGTAGAGACGTAGACCGAGGCAGAGGCCTTGCCATTGTTGTCTTTGATTTCTTCTTCAAAAAGAAAAAGGCATTTAGCGCTTGCCGTTAACCGAGGGTTATTGTTGTACTCATATTTCGGGTTATTACTACAGACTTACTTACCATAGTTGAATTTTCCGTATAATTTTCCCAATTGACTGCCATCCATAGCACTTAACAAGAGTTTAATATATTTTATACCTTATACCTTATCTTTTAAAATAAATTTGACATTTTTTGATTCTTTAAATAATGTATTTTTTATAAATAAAATAATTTGTTAAAGACACTATTCCTAGGCATAAATTATCTAGTTTTTGCTAGAAATAAACAGTTGCATAAAGTTATACATAAATATTTGAACTATGTATGTACATATGTGTTTTTTTGTTATTTTAAGACCATATTTTACTCAAAAATGCCCTAGAAAGGTAATTTTAAAAATGATTATTCTTTATAATCGCTACAGGAATTAAAATGAGAGCTAGTATACAAAATGGGTATAGAACTAGTAAAAAGTAAGAGATCTGCTTACAATAGGACTAGACAGGGGCTAGACTAGACTTGCATTTAAACTAGATAGTTTCTAGTAACTAATATGAAAAATACAAGTTCAAGTCCAAGTTCCAACCGAATTTGGCTAATTGGAATCGGACTACACAGGGATTAACAAATGTTTACATGACAGAATAATAATATTAATAAATAGTTCAAAACTATTAACAAAGAAGTAGTGTGTCGTAAGTAAATTTAATTCGCTTTTAAAAATATTCATAACAAATCAGACCCTTTAGTATTTTTCTTACTGTCATTTATCCCCCTATCCATCCCCTATCCATCCCCCGCCCCCCGGTCAATTGCTGTCAAACTGCGAAATGGCTCTCTGTCCACTTTGGTGCTCCTATTTATTTGTTTGCCGACTAGTTTTGACAGCCTTTGTATTTGCACAGGCAACGATGACATCCATTAGAACCTGCAGCGAACGGAAAGTGTACACTTTGCTGCAAACAATGCGAACTACAGATTGAAAACACGAACTACAAACACTGTGTAAAAAGGCGCTGCGGACAGCTGACACATGCACCAACACATCGCAGACTTCACTCGCCCGCCCGCACTTGCAGATACAGATACACCATGTATCTGGGAGTGGAGTATTTTGAACTCGTGTAATCTCTGGCATTGTGCTGAGCTTTCCAGCTGCAAAATGTATAAAAAGTGGAAAAATGCGCTGAATTGGGTCACACTCGTTGGCTTTTATGCCAGCTTAGATTGTTGTCAATGCCTCCGCCTGCCGCCTGCAGGTTCCCAGCCGAGTGGAAACTTTTTTGACTAACTTTTCGAGAATCGGTTCTTTGAACTCCCAGGCCAAATAGACCCGTGCTCCACGAAAAAGTCGATTTTCCATTTTTAATGTAGTTACGATTTTGTCACTAACGAACAAGTATCAAAATTAAAATCAACAAAGAAGATTTACTTTGATTTAAACCCATTTATATGATTTTGATACCCTTACTTGTAGTTTAATAAATTTGCCAAAAAACAATGCATTAGCTCAGTGATATTTTGTCCAAGTAAGTTTGGAATCTCTAGGACAAACCAAACAATTGTATAATTTAAATAGTCAAATGAAATACAAATCATCTTAATAATTTTAATAATACATTTCTAAAAAGCAACATCAAAAATTCATAATTAAAGATATTTTCTCAAAGTGTATTTCTTCATTTTGAGATGTACTTTGGCGATCTAATTGTGGCTACTGAGCGAAATAACCACAAAAGCCAATTAAAGTCGAATTTCCTTCAGTCGGAAACGGAGTCGCGACAGAAACAGACTGACAATGTCCGGTGCAGACAGCTAACCATGGCCAAAGAAGATTGGCTGCAACCCGATGCAGCCCTCAAATGCCAGACAAAATATGAACCAAGCCAATGGCAAATATCAAGCTCAGGTGTATTGCTGCACAGGTAAACATCAACGCCCTTGTCAGAGTTCAATGTTTGCTCTTTTCGCTATTGCTTTTGCCTCGATAACAGTTCTTTTTCTGGTGACTTGTCAGCAAATCTCGTAATTTGTAATTGTGACCTTATGCACGGAGTATTTTAAAACTATGACTATCTTTGGCATCGCATTCATATTCTTAATTAAGATACAAAGAAAAAAATTGTAACTTTAAGTGACGTAAATAGTAACAATGCCATGACACAAAATGTATATGTATGTATTTATGTTCTTTAAAAAAAATCCACAAATGATTCCTGGAATAACAATAATGGATTGGTTTTATATAATTCTGACCTCATTTGTTTGAGTAGTTGTTTTATAACCAGAGGAAAAATGAGAGCGACGGTTTATACGGTGGACTTTGCAATCAAATAACAAGATAGAGTCAACACTTTCGGGAAGCGCTTGGAAACTTCGGTGATTTCCGTTTGTGTGAATGGTTTCGTTGTCAGCTCTTCCGCATGATATTGACATTGTGGCACTCAAAGTTCATAGCCCACAAAACCCATCTCTGGTGCCGTTTTCTCTGCCCCAGTCATTTCACATTTCGATGCGCTTGGGCTTTATAATTAAGAGAGAATCAGTGAGCTGTTGTTGATTATGCTCGCTTGATTTTTATCACTCAACTACAGGGTGCGTGTGTGTGTATCGTGCGTGCCGAAACGTCTTAACAATCTATTTTGGCCATAACGCGCAATTGGCACTCATTATCATAGTCACCCACTCCAGCTACCTCGCTGTCTGTTGTGGTGGGCCATAAAGACAAACAGTCACTTTATTTATTTTGGCCCCACTTCGGGTTTTCGCCGCTTGAGTGTGGTCAGGATCAAAAGTGCCCCGCAGCTCTGCTTATTTCCCACTTTATGCAAATTTATTGTCAAGCTAATGGGCGTATTTTGGTAATTGCTTGAGAACTTCTATGTTCTGATTTATCAGCATGTTCTTTTTTGAACTTGACATTTTCTACATACCCTGAGTTTTGAAGGTAAAAACTGCGATTCCCCTTTATAATTTTATAGTTTTTAACCCTTTACCTTCATTTTATGATTTTTGTAGTGCTTTAAAACTATAAGATTTCTTGAAATAATCATGATTTAAAATATCTTGTTAAAATCTGAATTAATACTTTCCCTGTTACGAAAATTAGTATTGTAATTATTTTAATTTAATATACTTAAATTTATTTTAACTTGAGTACGAGTAATAAATTTAAAATTTTAAATGATATAGTCTTTAGTAGGATGATATATACAAATATATTTTAGTTTACTGACCTTATTGATACGGTTAATGGATCAGATATGGACATTTACTAAAGACGAACATTTAGTTTCAAAGTAGTTAAGGGTACAAACATGAGCTTTTTGTGCGGAGTGTAAGGGGAAAGAGGGAGTGGCAGTTATGCATGCTAACCTTGCTGGCATTCAGAATTTTCGACATTTCAATTCCATTTCCCCTTAGGCCTGCTAATTCTGGTTCTCCCCCTCCTTCCTCATTCCTTTACTGGGGCATGCCCAGACGAGGAGTCATAACTCTCGGCTTTATGTTGGAGGTGCTTGGGAATCCGACATGCCTCAAGCATGACATAATAATGTCACCCCCATGGAGCCCTCCCCCATCTAACCTCCTCCATTTTCCCATATAAACACATATCTCCCTGTGAATAATTCGTCATCGCTGGCGTGTGTTGCCAAAGAAAAGAGAGTATCGTGTGTTCTTGGGGTATATGCTAAGTGGCTGTCGCTTTGGATCGGGGGGAATCGGGGATTAATATCGGTGGGAGGTTAAAGGGAGGAAGCATTAAGGGTGTTATCGGCTGAAAATTGGCTCCTCTACGTGTTTCGTTTGAATACGTTTGAATCAATTCGTTTTACTGGCGGGCAGTGATATAATACTCGAGTTTAGCATGCACAACAAAGCCCCACAGTTGGGTATATAATAATGTCATTCATGCATATATACATCTGTATAATGTATGCGGCTGTGCACTTGGAGAAATATGACTCAAACTGTTGCTTTCCTTTCGTTGGTTTATTAAAATTTAACATACATATAAGTGTACAATTAAAACCAAGTTTAAGATATGTAGCTTCGCATTTCCATTGAACATTACGCATTCGTGATTTTTTTGTAATTATTATTTTGTTTTTGGAATGATTATAAAATCTTTTGTTTTTAAGTCGTTACATTTCGCTTTGTTATCTTAAGTCGCAGTTTTCGAGAGCGACTTGTGTCGACCTCGGATGTGAGTAATTCAACGGCGAACGCAAGTGCCACTGTGGTTTTTAATTGCATTTCCGTTCTGTCTCCAAGCGATCTTCGTTCTCATTCCGATTCTCATGCTCCTCTCGATTATCTCTTTGCAGAAAGCGTCAAATCCATTCTGGGTCGCCACACAAAGATACTCGTCAAGTATATGGTCAAGTTGGAGACGAAAGGCGATAAAACGGAGAATCGTGTTCTGGTAAGTGAATCCCCTACCGAAGTTGGCTAATTGGCCTGGCTTTCGGCTGCTGCCAGCTACTTCAGATCTCGTGGACTCGAGATCCGCTGACGGCCAACAGACGCCGTCTGTCAGCGGCACAGATTCAAATTGCCGACTGCAGGCAGTCAGTGGTCCAATTTGGGCTTTGAAATTGCATCCACCCCAGCCTAATTGCTTCAAATTCGGAGGAGGCTACCGTTTCGCCTAAAGTACCATTTAGGTAATGAATATCTGCAGACATGCCTCGGCAGTTCTGTAATGTTGTCTGTCAATTGGACTTTTGAGAAGGTTTTTAATACGAAAAGCTGCAGTTTAGGATAAAAATGGATTTAATTTAATATTATGCAAATCATCAAAGGTTAATACTACCTGTTTTAAAGCAGGCCAAATTGTATAGTTAACAGTAGAAACATCTATTGCCATAGATTGTCAATAAATGAATAATATAGGGAAAGGTCTGTTTCGTTATTTGGTCATTAGCTTATAATTTCAATAGGTTAAAATTTAAGATTTAAAATGAAAGCAAATAATTTTTTTCTTTTGTAAAATAACTTTTTATAATAAATAAAAATAAATTAAAGATGTATTCCCTAACACCTGTTAAGTAAGCTGCAATTAGTTTCGGTTTTTTTTTTTATTGTAGAACACAGTAACGAGTATTTATACTATTGACACTCAAATTAAGAGTTTATTTAATATTTAAATGACTCTCCAGACGCTCCCTCTATCGTTTGAAACATATTTTTAGTGGAAAAAACTAGAGAAAAGTGGCCGGTTTTACTAAGGGACCGCTCCAACATAAAGACCTCTTTCTTGAGTTTTTATAAACAAATTGATTGTATAATGAAATATAAAAAAAAAATTAGTTTATTCATTCTTAGAATTTTTTTTACAAAACGTAAATAAATTATCGAATTCGATAAATAGCTATTATTTTTTATTTGTAATTACTTAGAATATGTTTTAATTATTTGAAACGTTTATTATAATTTGAATCAAAAAATCGTTAGCTTTTAAAACCAATGTGTTACCGAGTTCATGAGTATTGCACAGTCTTACTGGTCTATTAAGTTACCAACTTAGCTAATTCTTTTTCACATCACGATGGGGGCAACCGATTGCACCTGACCGTAGGCCAGCAACTGGCCCAGAACCGAAATTGATATTTTATAGCATACTTAGCGGCGGCGGGGCACGACTTTTCTCCCACCTGCACATTTCCTGGGGGCCGGGCTATGCTAATTTCATACCTGGCCACTTGTACGGCCGCTTAAAGAGCGCACACAGCTGGAAAATTGATTTGTGCAAGCGGCTTACAAGGTGGCAGAGACAAAGTGTTCAATTACCAAAGTCGATGGGGCCAACTCCTCCACCTCCTATTCGCCAACTCGTTCTGCTTGGCCTCTGCATCTTAGAACCTAAATGAATTAGTTGACGCACTTTGATTTGCCATTAAAAGCAACGAACTTTTCTCAATCAACTCTCGCTAGGCGAAAGCCAAATTGAGTTTTGAGTCTCCGTTTGTCGTGATAATGGAGTTACACTCCACTAACAGCCTACAGAATGCGCTCCATCTGCCCCTCCTCCTTGAAGTTTTAGCCTAGCATGTTGGCACGCATGTCTAGCCTGTGTTTTCTTTGCCAATTACAACACTTATCACTCATGTTTTGCAACTCCTCTCCTTCCGCAGGTTTTTACCCCCGTGAGGGTCTATTTGCTCAGTGCCAAAGTGCCCACCAAGGTGAGTTTTTGATCCATACATTATGCGTTATAATTACTAATTTCATATTTATTTTCCAGATCGAATGCCATTTTCACTACCTGGACATTGTGGGGGTCGAGAGCAAGAAGTCAACCCATTTCTCCATTGTCACCAGCGATCGGCCATACTCGTTTGTCACTACCGGCGATGCGGGCAATTTCAGCTCGGTAAGGCAAAACCACTTACTAGTTTGTATATGTAATATTCCATATGTAATTATCTTCATTTCGGTTGTGTTCATTCTGCAGAACGCTGATGTCATTCTGACTGATCTGGCCTCAGCCATCAAGCAGATATTCCCAACAGTTCCTCTAAAGTACATCATACGAAAGGTAAGTATTGACAATTAACGGTTGAAGGTTTATTAACGGAGTTTCAGTGAATTAGTTAACTTAAATATTTCATATTTAAAGTATTCTTTTTACTTAATGACTATCAGTAGGTTTTGGGTAAATACAAATTTTGTTGATTATATATGTTTGAATAAATTAGTCGGATAATAGCTTCAATAACAGATATAATAAGGTATGCCAACGCTATTTACAAATTCAACAAATAAATATTAATTTATTTCTTTTAAATAAAAATTTAGAATAGTTAAAACTGAGTTTATTATTTATATGGAAATAATAAGTCATTGAAGCTTTCGACAATCTAATCATCACTCCTATCCTTATTGCTTCTGTAAATTGAAATTATGACCCAACCCTTTAACCCATTGAGAGTCGTTTAGTGGAGCAGTATCGACCGCTGCTAGCCCACTGACTCACGTCTGGCTTTAATTAATGTTTAATTAAATATTTAGTGAGCAATTCTGTGTATCTGTTGTGGGTACTTGGGGACATGTACATATGTGGCATCTCACCCACTGTGTCAGCATGCCACCCCCGCCCCTTTTCCAATTAAGCCTTAAGTGCATAAACGTCGTCATCTGCGGGAGTTGGGGTTAATAATTCAATGCATTTGTAATGCTCCTGGCCTGAGTTTGTCGTACATTATGCTGGCTATGTTTATGCAAATCGACCGAGATCCGCCCACGAGGCACCCATGACTATGGACGAACCAAGGTTAGCCCATCCCATTGTTGCTGTTTTGCGACTTTTATCTAGCTATCCGACTGGGAAGTGGCAGCAACAATTGAAGCTACATGGCTTGGATAATTGCCGCAGGGCACGCGACCTGGGCGTCATCGGGTTGACGCCTTAAATGTACCCATCAAAATTCGCATTTAGCAAGAGTGTTAAGTGCGAGATTAAGTTTAAGCAGATTGTAGGCGAAGAAAGAAGGAGAGGAGCCGCTTTCGAGGAGTTTTGCTGGCAGTCCGAAAAGTTGCATTGTTCTTCTAGTTGGTCAACTTCAGCTACACAACAAAGGCGGACTCTTGAGACCTTTAACACACACTCCTAGAACTTTTTAAACAAATTGTTTGCATCAGGTCAGTGAACTGGTTCCCTCTACCCCCTCTTCTTTCAGATCGATATTCAGCCGCCGGAGCGGGAGATAATATTCTCTGAGGAATTTCGACCCTCCGATCCGCGAAATGTGGGTCCTTGTGGGGGATTCAGTGCCCAGTACGCCTGTATGTGCGATTTCCATGGCGTTCCGTATCGCGAGGAGGTGGCCTGGGATGTGGACACCATTTACCTGTCGCACGATACGCGAGTTCTCAACCTGCGCGACTTTGATCACCTGGAACCAAAGTGAGTTTTTCATTATAAATTGTAGTTTAAATATAATATCCTTGAATATTCATATTAGAGACTTGATGGCCATCGTTTCGGCGCTAGAGTACAACACGTTTTTTCGTGGCTTAAAGGCGGCTCACATGCGATTGTCCCACGAGACCCTGGAACGCATCCTGCACGTGCTTAAGCGTTCGATGTGGTTGGAGGAGCTGCATCTTGAGGCACTGGGCTTAAGGTAAGTTTGCCTAATACTACGATTCAAAAACATGTAATTAATAAACTCCTATCCATTTTGCAGATGGGATTTCCTAAACAAGTTATCGATATCTGTGATAACGAATAGCAATCCCGCCATTCGCACCATCGATCTGAGCCACAATATAATTGAGGATAAAGGTGCGTACTCAAATCCCGGGATGGCAATCAACTGCCCCGCCCCTGCTGACAGCGCTGTCCCAAAACTGCCACCGAGTTGTAATCGAGACCCGCCTCGTGTAATCCAATTAATCCAATTCTTGTCTACCTCTCTGCTATCGTTTCTCTTCCCCACTGTTTATATGTGTTGTCGTTTGTCGGTTTGCCATTTTCATTTGCGATTTGTGTAGGAGCAAGTTCATTGTGCGCCCTATTTGGAAAGATTGTACAAGGTTTGCAGCCACCAATAGACACCATAGCACCACAGCCATCTAAACAAAACTTAGTTATTGCATTATTGTTGTGTTACTGCTATATTGCCGTTAATGTTCTTCTTATTTTCCCTAAGTTTGCAATTTAATTGGTTGACTTGTGTGGCCATTGTCGAGCCACCAACATGATTTTGTTCAGATAGGATCAATGAGTCTATTTTTACTCTTCTCATCGACAATTGCCACATAGGTCTAAACTAATTTGCTAAGGAGTTCCCATACTTTATCGCCATTCTGGTCTTTAAACATTCTTCTCTATGTAAACTAAATTAAACAATTGGAACAATGAAACTTCAAGTATTCAAATTGTTTTACGATCATGCTTTTCATTCATTCAACAGTCGTTGTTTTTGGCCTATCTTGGAGAATACTAGTCTGCTAATAATATATGGTGTATTTTCTGGTTCAGGTGCCATTCATCTGGCCGGGCCCATAGCCAAGGTCTCCAAGGGTCTTTGCAAACTGGCCTTGGCCCATTGCGGACTAACTTCGAAGGGAGTCAACCAGATGTCGCACTCCCTGACGCTCAATCAAAGTATTGCCAACTCGCTCACGTATCTAGACTTAAGTGGTAATAGTCTCAAAGATGATATAACCGTAAGTACTTTAAACTACATCCAAGAATTCTATAATTTTATTAAATTATATATATATATATTTCAGAATCTGCACAATTTCCTGGCTCAACCCAATGTGCTGGAGCACTTGGATCTAGCCTCGACTGACATCACGCTTGAAAATGTATGATAATCCGAATTTAAATAAGTCAAAGTGCTCATCTTTGTTTTATATTCTTTTCAGTTGTTTGGAGCTCTGTTGCGCGGCTGTGCCACGCATTTGGCCCACCTGAACGTCTCGCACAACTCGTTCAGCACCAAGAAGGGCAAGGAGATCCCGCCCTCCTTCAAGCAGTTCTTCACCAGCACCTTCAGCCTGAAGCACCTTAATATCGCCGGCTGTAAACTACCCATGGAGGCGCTGAAGAACCTATTGCTTGGCCTGGCCTGCAACGAGTCCACAGCGGGGCTTTACCTGGATCTCAGTAGCAACACGCTGGGCGCCCAAGGGGCCCACGTGCTCGAATCCTGCATCCACGGAGTGCGTGTGCTGCAGAGCCTGGACATCAGTGATAACAGTAAGTGGAAGATTACTATCCAGGCTGCAGCTCGGATATGCAACTAAAACTCTTACCGTTTTAAACTTTCTCAGATCTGGATGCTGAGCTGGCTCCCGTGCTGACAGCCATTTCGAAGAACCCCTCGATCCGGACGCTTCACTTGACCCGCAGCCTTACGGGAATGAAGCCGAAGCACATTCCACCCGTAATGGACGCCCTGGTGAACCTCATCCAGAAGGACGACTTTCCACTGGCAGAGTTGGTGCTGTCGGAGAACAAACTGAAGCACGACCTGCACGACTTCATCAACGCACTGGGCAGCAACCAGAGCCTTCAGAAGCTGGACATTAGTGGCAACTTCATGGGGGATGTGGGCGCTCGGCTCCTGGCAAAAGCTCTGCAGATCAACAACCGGCTGCGCACCATATACATGGACAAGAACGGGGTGACGCTACAGGGCTATGCGGACATTGTTTACGCTCTGGAGCACAACCACAGCATGCGCACTATTCCCTTTCCCGTTTTTGATATCGCCCCGCATCTGAAGAGCCATCCAGATAAGACGGATGCGGTGATGCGGAAGATGCAGGAGCTGCTGCAGCGCAACTGCAATGGCTTGAAACGGGCCACTGGCCAGGGATTCCGACTGCAGCACGGATTCTTGCTCTCATCCACGCATCAACTCGTGGATAAATTGGTGGCCGAGACACAGGACACTATTTCGCTGGCCAAGGGTGGCAGCGATTCCGCATCGGCTGTGCAGCGATTGATTACCGATGCCGAGAACTGCAAGCAGCTGATGCCAAAGCTGCAGGAGGCCGTTCGCAACGACAGCCATCCCATCGAGATGAAGTTGACCCGAGTGGCAAGCGAACTGGGCTACACAATCAAGAGCTATCTGGAGGAGACGTTGGAGACGATGATGCGCACTGGGATCGAGCAGTGTCCCAAGACCCTGGGCAACCAGATCGTTGTGCAGGATCTTCGCAAGGGACTTGCGGAGCGTCTGGTGGTGCCCGAGGAGTTTCTGCAGATCTGCCTACTCAACAACGCCGGCAGCGAGATTATGAACAAAGTTGGGTAAGTTTCAACAAAGAGAGTGGTTTAAGTAGCAACAAGAAAAACGTTTCCTACCATGTCCCTACAGAATTGTGTAATTTTTGGGCTTAAAAGTTGGATGGCCAAATTTTTTCAACGACTACAAATACCTTTTTACTCTACAAATAACGGGTATAGGATCACAAAATTTTAAGGAAATGGAATTGTTAGCTTTATTTAATTGAGAATTGACAAAATTAAAACCAAAACAAGCTAACTTAGGCAAACCGAACTTTATATACCTATGCAGCTGTTACAATTAATATTCTTTATTTCTATTTCGCTGCTTAAAAACAATGAAACTAGGTCGATTTTCCGATCGTTCGTAGGGCAACAACGAAGTTATGATTTTATTTCTTTTCTTCTCGATTTTTCCTATGCGAGGTATAGGAAACAGTCGACATTAATTTTTAACCCCTTGGGGGGGGTTAAATTAATTTTAAAAAATAAAAAAAAAGGAAGGAGAAAAAATCAAACCTTAAAAAAAAAAAATTTTTTTAAAAATCACCTCCTGAGTTGATATAGCCATGTCCGTCTGTCCGTCTGTCCGTCTGTCCGTCTGTCTGTTTCTACGCAAACTAGTCTCTCAGTTTTAAAGCTATCGGATTGAAACTTTGCACACACCCTTCTTTCCTTTGCACGCAGTATATAAGTCGGAACGGCCGGGATCGGCCGACTATATCCTATAGCTGCCATATAACTGATTGATCGGAAATGCCATAACTTTCGTGTTTGTAAAGTTAGGAAGTTGGGATTTTCTATGGGTTTTATATTTGGCCAATCAATCCAACCTACCAAATTTCATAAGGATCGGCCGACTATATCCTATAGCTGCCATATAACTGATTGATCGGAAATGCCATAACTTTGGTGTTTGTAAAGTTAGAAAGTTGGGATTTTCTATGGGTTTTATATTTGGCCAATCAATCCGACCCACCAAATTTCATAAGGATCGGCCGACTATATCCTATAGCTGCCATATAACTGAATGATCGGAAATGCCATAACTTTGGTGTTTGTTAAGTTAGAAGTTGGGATTTTCTATGGATTTTATTTTTGGCCAATCAATCCGACCTACCAAATTTCATAAGGATCGGCCGACTATATCCTATAGCTGCCATATAACTGATTGATCGGAAATGCCATAACTTTGGTGTTTGTAAAGTTAGGAAGTTGGGATTTTCTATGGATTTTATTTTTGGCCAATCAATCCGACCTATCAAATTTCATAAGGATCGGCCGACTATATCCTATAGCTGCCATATAACTGAACGATTGGAAATGCCATAACTTTGTTGTTGTTAAAGTTAGGAAGTTCGGATTTTTTATGAGTATTAAGAATGCATCATATGAATAATTTTGGAGAATATAATTTACAGAGTATTCTGCAAGGGTATATCAACTTCGGCTCCGCCCGAAGTTAGCTTTCCTTTCTTGTTATAGAAGTAAAACCGTAAATCTGAAATCGTTGATTGCTGATCAAGAATATATATACTTTTTAGGATCAGAAATGTGCCCTTCACTGTGCTGCAAACTTTTGACTAAAATTATAATATCCTCTGCAAGGGTACAAAAATGTGATAAATAAGATAGGAAAGAAAGCCACTTGTATAACCAGTTTCATGAAAAGATTGGCGCTATGATTAGAAAAATGCAAAAAAAAATAAAAACAAGAAAGGAAAGCTAACTTCGGGCGGAGCCGAAGTTGAAATACCCTTGCAGAATATTCTGTACATTATATTCTCCAACATTATTTATATGATGCATTCTTAACACTCATAAAAATCCCAACTTCCTAATTTTAAAAACACAAAAGTTATGGCATTTCCGATCAATCAGTTATATGGCAGCTACAGGATATAGTCGGCCGATCCTTATGAAATTTGGTAGGTCGGATTGATTGGCCAAATATAAAACTCATAGAAAATCCGAACTTCCTAACTTTACAAACACCAAAGTTATAGCATATTCGATCAATCAGTTGTATGGCAGCTATAGGATATAGTCAGCCGATCCTTATGAAATTTGGTAGGTCGGATTAAGTGGCCAAATATAAAACCCATAGAAAATACCAACTTTCTAACTTTACAAACACCAAAGTTATGGCATTTCCGATCAATCAGTTATATGGCAGCTACAGGATATAGTCGGCCGATCCTTATGAAATTTGGTAGGTCGGATTGATTGGCCAAATATAAAACTCATAGAAAATCCGAACTTCCTAACTTTACAAACACCAAAGTTATAGCATTTCCGATCAATCAGTTGTATGGCAGCTATAGGATATAGTCGGCCGATCCTTATGAAATTTGGTAGGTCGGATTAAGTGGCCAAATATAAAACCCATAGAAAATCCCAACTACCTAACTTTACAAACACCAAAGTTATGGAATTTCCGATCAATCAGTTATATGGCAGCTATAGGATATAGTCGGCCGATCCCGGCCGTTCCGACTTATATACTGCGTGCAAAGGAAAGAAGGGTGTGTGCAAACTTTGAATTCGATATCTTTAAAACTAGACAGACGGACAGACGGACAGACGGACATGGCTATATCAACTCAGGAGGTGATCCCTGATCAAGAATATATATCTAGTCGGAGATGTCTCCTTCACGCGTTGCACACTTTTCACCAAATTTGATCAAGGGTTTAATAAGCTAGGCGTTAACCAAATTTTGGTAATGAAGGTAGCTGAGATAACGAAACGGAGAGTAATTTTAGAGAGTAGGAAGAATGATTTATAACTAAAAACCTAGAGGAACGTAAACAATATGAGTAGAATTCTCAGTAATTCTTAACAAGGTCTACGTTATTTTCGCAATAGAATTCGCACATCGCCATGAATGACCAAAAAAAGAGAGTCGAAAACAAACACATGATAGCTTGGTATTTTCACACTCTGTTTCCCAAAACGAGCTTTATGTGGAGCTCTCTGCGCTCTCTATTTGCTCCTATGAACGTTCGAAAAAGTCTGTTTATTTAGGTATTCCCATATACACATTAGTGAGAGAGCTGACGCTTAGATAAGATTAAGAACAACACACAAAAAACACAGAAACAGCTGAATGCATTTCCACTGTGGCCGGGATTTCGGAGCCAAACACTTCCATTACGGCTTGCGCCAAAAATAGGTTTATCTGTGCTTATTGACTGGGGCTAGCTCACATCCCTTTAGTTCGCTACCAGCTGTTGGGGAAAAGTCGCTCAAAGAAATGGGTCTAATGCGCACTTTGTGCTGCTGCTTCAGTGGCCAAAATTCCAAGGCTTCAGGCACCAGTCCAGCCTATACTGAGTGTCCCAATGAGGAGCCACTGGAGGAACTGGATATAAAGCCGAAATCTGAGAATCTTTCTGATAAAAAGTAGTTATTTTAGGCCTTTATTTATTGATTACTAATTTGCTTTAATCATTTATCTTTACCTTAGTGAGATTGAACAATCCCTGGCCGCCGCCATCTCCGATCGAGCCACAGATGAGGTGCTTGAGGCCCTGACCCGCTACCGCCGTGGCATGGGCATCGCAGAGTCGCCATCGGTGCTGCTGGACGAACCGCAGACACCGGACATCGTGCGCAGCCGCTCCAGTCATGTAAGTGCTATATTCGATTCGGGTTGCGATCGGGCCAATCGAGTGGGTGGCTTTTATCAGCCTCTGCTAATGACAAATGTGATGTCATGGCCCTAAGCCCCTCGACTGTATTTTACTTTCGCTTCGACCCAAAAAAGTGAGGCAGTTGTTATTGTGATCGGCGGTGCTGCTGCTTTGGCTCTGCTTATCAGGGCCTTTGATTACAAATATTTCACCCACTTTGGGGAGTTGCCGAATCAAAGAACTATTTAGAGTGAACCTGGACACTAACGAATACACATTCTCCTTCTTTTGTTTAGGATGCGGATGGTTTGATCATTCGACCGGGTGGACGAGGCTCGATATTGCCCAAACTGGGCTTGGAATCGCCCACTGTAAGTGTTGAAAATCTCTCGCTACCCAATTGGATGCAATAGACTCCTCCGAAAACAGCCAAAAATATAATTAGTCCATAGCTACATTATATATTAATGAGTATATGCGAACAGTAGAGTACCAAGTGTCAAAAAGATATGTCATTCACATTTACCCCACAGTCATCCAAACACACGATACCACATACTTTCTTATATGTGTGCTTTGTACATATATGTGTAAAACTGAAAACTCATTCCAAACCCAACTAGCTGGATGTAGTTGACACATGCAAAATAAAAGAAATCCCACATGCATCACATTATATTCCCCAACACACATACATCGAATCTCATTAATAAATTACTTAAATGTGTACACCAAATGCTCATGCTCATTATTTTTCTCGTGTCTTCCTGCCCTGATCTGATCATCATCATCACCATCAATAAAAACCGAAAACGAATCAAAATCAATTGTACAATCGCAAATACTCGTTCTCGTACTCATACTCGTTCTCTTTACATACTTTAATTAAACCTTGTCTCCAACTCATTTACATAATTGCATTTCAAAATCCAAACAAACACAAAAAGAAATTGGAATATCTCAACCTTGTAAGTAGTTTTTGTCTTGTTCTTAAGTCTATTAATCAGCTTATAACGTTTTTTCTAAGGCAGTGGTTTTGATATTATGAGGGTATCCAGAATTTCTTCCTGGATCGCTCGTCAGTTTGGACTACTGTTTTGGGAAAAGCCACTCAAAAACCCTATCTTTATATTTCTCTATCTGTAGACTGCTCGTTTCTGTAGACCATCTATTATCTCTGTGACTGTTTTGATTTGTAACCCTTGTAACACCCAAAAGAACCAAAAGCATTCTTCATTATTTCACATACTCAATGAAGCTTCATAAGCCTCACATAATATATTCATGTAAATGCGATCCTAATCTGGATATTAACCATCCAAACAGGCAACTCCGCATCTGGCCACAAAGCGGCGCAACCAAGCCAAGAAGGTGCGTCCTCAGTCCGTGGTGGAGAATCTCAGCCTTGGCCACTTCCCTGACCTCCTGGAGTCGCCCTCCTCGCACCGCTCCAGCTCTCAGTTGTCCGCTCGAGCAGCTGCAGGAGCCGCCGCCTTGGCGGGAGCCACCAACATGACCGACAGCATTGTGGCCATGGACGACGGAGGAGTGGATGAGTGCTGCGACTCCATTACCGAGCTGCCAAGCGCCTCGTTTCAGCTGCAGCACCTGGTCAAAGGTCGGCCGAAGCGGGCCAAGACGCGTGCACCCACCAGGCCGTTGGTCAGTGCCGAGTGTGCCGGGGGTAGCAGGGAGATCGGCGAGGGTCTGGAGCACTTCTTCCGGCCCGGGTCGGTGACGCCCACTACTCTGACTCCGCTTGTTTCGCCCACGTCGGAGGAGTGCAGCTCGCTTTCGTTTGTGGACAGTCCCACGATGAGCCGCGACGGCAATGGGCACATGACCTCTGAGGAGACCACGCCAATTCTGGAGGAGCGCCGACCAATTAAATTGGAGCGCCAGTCACCATTGCTTAAGAGTAAGTAGAGTTTTTGTTAGGCATTGCAAAGGGTTCTAAAGTTTACTTTAAATCTAACCCATCGTAGGTGCCTCATGGGCAACCCGCTCCCGCTCAACGGATAATCTGGAGAAGTATTCACCGCTGGTGGGACGCAAATCGCCGCTGGTGAAAATGCGAACAGAAGGCGGACCTGGTTTGGGAACTGCCGGCGGCACTGAGGAGACAGTCATGCCCAGCTCCAATCTTTTGAAGGCCACCACCCGCGAGGATAAAACGCGGTCGCCCAGCAGCGATTCGATCAAAAGCCATGCCACTGGCGAGGGCAGCGTGATTGTGAAGACGGGTAATGGCATCCTGCGAACGCCCATTGTCCTCCAAAAACCGCGACCTTGGTCGGTGGTGGGCAGTGAGCCTAAGCCAAGCGGAGAGCTTGTCACTGGCAATGGAAATGCCGATTCCAGCAAGACCACTCCGGAAAAACAAGAAGAAGGTGGGTGAAGAAATTGGAATGAAATGAGGGTTGAATACTATCACATATCTTTTATGTTTAGATGATGTCGAGGTGGTGACCTTTGGAGCGAGCTGCGGTGGCTCCATTGTGGGCATCACGCCTGGAATAGCCTTATCAGCGGTTGGCGGGGGTAGCATTGTAGGCATTTCGCCTGGTAAGTCACTTCAAATTGAGGTAATTGGTTCACTAGTTTCTAAAGTTTTAACTGCCTTTCAGGAGCTGCTCTTGAGAAAAAGTCTGTGCGAGAACTAGCAGCGGGTCTCAATAGATTGGGTAAGTTGAATGCTCTGCATGCGCATGAATATTTAGCTGCTTATAGTTGCCTGCCCAGTACTTAGCTTTCCTTTTAGTTGTAGCTATGCAACCCCTTTTGATATTCGTTTGTTTTGTATCTTATTTATTTTCATATTTTGATTGATTTGTTGCACTCCTTACTTGTAAAGAAATCCCCATCAAGCCGCCCGTTATGCCCAGAACCCTGTTGAACGCAGCAAATACCCGCACGAGCACCTCCTCTACGGGCTCCACCTCCAATGGTGGGTCAGTCACCTCATCTACGACCTCCATCACGACCTCGACGACAGTATTAAACCAGAGCCATACGCGATCGAGGATTTTGAGCACGACGAGCAACACTGGCAGTACCGAGACCATCACAGAGCGCAGCAATATTAGCACCTCCTCAACCAGCCACGAAAAGCAGAATGCTAAGGCCTGCGCCAGTCTGATTAGCAACGAGATCCTGAGCATGCGCAACGCGCAATTGGGTGCCAAGAGTGGGAGCTGCGCGGAAAGCGGTGGCGTGAAGCGGATCGCCGGCAAGGAGATATCCACGCTTTTTGAGGTTTGAACTCCGAGGCTGAAGCTGCATTGGAATAGCTTGCATTGATCACCGCTCAAAATTTGGACAAGTTGCTTCGTTGATTTTGGTGCTCATCCTGTTAGTCTAACATGCGTCTTTGTTGCTTAGTGTGTAGTCGTTAAGTTGTGTCTACTATTTTGTAAGCCGCATGTTGCCTATACTCCATCTAGTTTGTGTATGCCTGTTGAGCTCATGTTTATACAAACCGCCTTATAATGGAAACATTTTCATACTTTCCCACAGGAGACATTAGTTGAAGAACTGCAGCAGAGCATGGCGAGCAGACGCGTGTTTAGAGACTCGCCCTACACAAAGGAGGATGTCGTTGATTTATAAGTGTTTAGTTTTATGCTCAACATTCCCTCACATCGACTCCTAGTCCTCCACCCAACCTGCCACAGTTTTGCGTGATCGATTCTAGGGGTGATGATAAGAAAAAGTGATGATGATGATGGACAGATGGATAGATGGATACGAGGTTGCAACTTATTCGTACTGAACCATTAATTAATGTGCAATGGCCCGTGTGTGTTGTTTTCATTTGGAAATTTAGAATGAACGTGATTTATTTATTGATATATACCCTGATACTTTTATCCAAATTAACCTTTGCATATTTTTAAAGATGTTTTGTGTACAATATTTTATATTTTTATGTATTTAAAATGAGTTAAGTGCCAATTATATAAAGAATTAACATAAATCTATTTTTAGCGCGTGCTATACAAAAAATTTCAATGAAACTAACGAAGATAACGCAATGAATATGATATATATATATATGATACTATACATATTATGTAAATTGATTGCGTGCATAAGAGCTATTTTAATGGTCTAAACCTACAAAATCTAAATGAAATATAATATTTTTTATAACTGCTTCCAAATACAAATTTTATCCTATATTATTTCCCCGTTTTAATTTACTTTACTTATATACATACTTATAGTATTCCAGCGACAATCCGTTTTCAACTTTTAACGCGCACTGTGCCGACAGAAACAAATGCATTTATTTAAAAACGAAACGGAGATCGACGATCTTATTGATTATTTTCTAAAAAGTTAACAATTTACGCTAAGAAATTAGGCGAAAACGATAAAAAAATTACTGAATGCATTTAAACGACAAAAAACCGAAAACTACAGAAAACTAATTACTCTAATGGCGAATCGATCAATTTCAATTTTGAAGATTTAGTAGTTTGCACCAACACAGAAAATTTTAAGAGAAGCGTTTAAACCAGTCCACCACCGACCACACACTTCGAGTTTTGAGTGTTACCCGATTCCCATTCAACTTCAAAAACCCAAAACGAATTACGAAAAACTTAACGTGTTCATTAAAGTTAAGCAATTAAAAACTTCATTGTAATCTATTGAAATTCAAATTAAACGGAAAACAATAACAAAGATGACAGTTTTATTTTGGTATTTCAATGGGTTGAAAAATTTAAAACTCCCGCTTATAGCGTCTTGCCACAGAAATTCACCCACCATCCGTTGAACGGATGGTCCATAAGGTTTTGCCGTTCAACAAAATTTTCAATTTTTTCTGTGTAACTCTGAGTCTTCTTCTTGACAGTGAAAACTGAAACATTCACTACGAAAACGTAAGCAATGATGACGGGGAACTTTTGAAAATGGAAGGGGCCAAATCAATAAATGCTAATTATTTTTCTGATAATTCATTGTTTTCAATTTTACATTCGATAATACAGTATATGTTATGAAGATGGCTAGGTACCCTGCAGTACCGTTCATCACCTTTTAATCGCTTTTTCATCACCAAAAATTCATCACTGCTGATTAATCGGCGATGAAACTTCATACAAATTAGTGATGAATTCAACATTGGCATGTCCTAGGAGTTAATCAGTGAAAAATTCATCACTCTTTAATCAGTAATTCATCACTCTTTTTTCAGTTTTTCATCACTCTTTAATCAGTAATTCATCACTTTTTGAACAGCGTTTACTGATGAACATGCGATGAACGAGTGATTAAAATGCGATGAAATAGTGATTAACGAGTGATGAATTACTGATTAAAGAGTGATGAATTCATCACATTTTCATCAGTAATTCATCACTCTTTAATCAGTAATTCATCGCTTGTTCATCTCATTTTCATCGCTTTTTCATCGCATTTTCATCGCTTTTTTTTCATCAGTAAAATTCATTCAGTAAATTTTCATATAAATTTCATTTTTTATTTTATTCCATTATTTCATTATTATTTCATTACATATAACTAATTAATTTAACTTAATTCAATCTACATATGTACATGAGCGGACCACATCTAAGACCTTCACAAAGTATGCCCTAGTACCTGCAATAAATATATTTTATTAGTTAATTTTAAACCACAAATATATGTAAGTATGGGGACATACTCTCGTTCTCCAGTGTTCAGTTCCATTTTGTGAGCGCCTAGGAAATGCTGCCACACGGATGGAGCAGTAATTAATTAATTATTTCAAGTATAAACAGCATTTATTGATTTGGCGCCTTCCATTTTCAAAAGTTCCCCGTCATCATTGCTTACGTTTTCGTAGTGAATGTTTCAATTTGCTCTGTCAGGAAGAAGAACTCAGAGTTGCACCGAAAAAACATCCCCTAACTATATCATAAAAAGTCAGTCAAATTCGGATGGGGAACTAACTGGGAATTTCCGGAACGGAAAAACCTTATGGACCATCCGTTCAACGGATGGTGGATAAATCTTTGTGGGAAGACGGCATAACTGGGAAATTTTTGGCATAGCGAAACCTTTTGGACCATCCCGCAAATGGTTACTGGATGGTGCTCAGTGGGATTCGGGTATAATTAAGACTTCGATAGGAAATTCGCCGCAGTTCTGCAACCCACCTCTAAAACCAATCGATGCCGGCAGTGCTTGATATCGGGAAATCGTTCATCCCCAACTCGCGTCGGCTGCGAATTGTTTTTTCCGTATTTTAAGAAAATAAACGAAAAAGGTGTAGGAAAAAGCTGAATCCAAAAAACGACAAGACACAGAAACTGCCACGATGGTGAAACTAACGCCGGAGCTGATCAACCAGTCTATGCAATACATTAACCCGTGCCGGGAGCGCGAGCTGGATTTGCGCGGCTACAAGATTCCACAGATTGAGAACCTGGGCGCCACCCTAGACCAGTTCGACACTATCGATCTGTCGGACAACGACCTGCGCAAGCTGGACAACCTGCCGCACCTACCGCGCCTTAAGTGCCTGTTGCTGAACAACAATCGCATCCTGCGCATCAACGAGGGACTGGAGGAGGCGGTGCCTAACCTAAGCTCCGTCATCCTTACAGGCAACAACCTGCAGGAGCTGAGCGACCTAGAGCCGCTGGCAGCGTTCGCCAAGCTGGACACCATCTGCCTGCTTATTAACCCGGTATCCACGAAGCCCAACTATCGCGAGTACATGGCCTACAAATTTCCGCAGCTGCGGCTGCTCGACTTCCGAAAGATCAAGCAAAAGGACCGCCAAGCGGCGCAGGAGTTCTTCCGTACCAAGCAGGGCAAGGACATGCTAAAGGACGTAAGCCGGAAGTCAAAAATGAGCGCCGCTGCCGCCATGGCCGCCGAGGCGGGGAATGGCAAGGGAAGAGGGTCGGACGGCGGCCGACTGGCCAATCCAGAGGACATGCAGCGCATCCGCGAGGCCATTAAGCGAGCCAGCTCGTTGGCTGAGGTGGAGCGGCTTTCACAGATCCTGCAGAGCGGCCAGCTACCTGAGAAGTTTCAGCACGAGCAGGAGCCGGCGCAGAATGGAGCTGGGCACAACGGCTCTGGGGCCGTGGCCATGGATTACTAAGACTAGGATATGCCGCTCATCCGTCAGCTACCTTATAACCGTAGACCAATATTTTGTAATAAAACGCCGCCTCAAGTTGATTAACCGCATTCTGCATTCTGGACATACACAAATATATATTGTATCTTTTGTTTTTAACTAGGGCCACTGATCAGAGGACCTTTCACGGAAAGATCTGGGACAACTGGCCACGGTAGAGATGCGGTTACACGAACGTAATTGGCTAAAAGTTTAACAATCTACAGCGAGTACGAAGGGGTCAAAAACAGGAGGTGCGGCTAGCTTATGTGAAAATGGTGGGGATCAGAATCTGGCTCCTCGGATCTGATATTGCTGGAAGGTTCTATTAGGAACCTTTTGCTGCCATTATGGTGTCGTAGTGCAGACCAGTGTAGAAGATTATCCACGTGACCAAGAATCCGGCGAACGACGTCATGAAGCCCTCCTTCACCAATTCCCAAACGCCGCCGTAGGCGTCTTCGTCCACGTTCTGGAAGTTGATGGCGTATAGGTAGACGATCCCGCAGCTGATGCCGGCGAATCTGGAAAGCATAACATCTAAATGGACTGACTCCGACTATTTATAGGTTATAGCTACTCACAGAACCAGTCCCAGGAACCCCTTTAGCGGCACTATGCCCCAAATGACGCCCAGAAAAATTCCGAATACCTGCCGCGACCAGTAGATAACGTCCAGAAACTCTTCCTGTGGGAGATTAGAGGATTAGCATGCGGGTTTTGCGATCCGGAACTTTGCTCACCTTGTCCTCCCACTCCGATTTTGTAATGGCGCGCGCGCAAATTTCTCGCAGCGTGGAGGATTTGGCCGAGTGGCCGTTGCGCTCAATTGTACTCGTTTTCGTGGCCATTATTTGATTCAGCTTTGACCCAAATCACTTTAAATTATTTTGTTAATTAATTTTTTCACTATCGCGTAGAGCTGGGACCAAAATCGATGTTTATTCGATACTATCGATATTTCCGAAAATATTTTTACATCTATGATTATTCGATTGGACCTAATATTTATTTTAGTGCTGTTAAGTTTAAGTTAAGGGCGACAACCCTACCATCAGCTGTTTGGTTATGTCAATTGAGTTTTCACTTTAACCATTGAAAAAATTTAATAAACAATGCTACAAATAACGAAAATCTGCCTGGCTGCCGCTTCCACATTTTCAGGTAAGTACTTTACTCGATTCTAATTCTATTATAATTCATCGATCGAATGTTTTTACGCAGCTCGGAGAGGTATTGCTGTATCTGCCGCCCGATCCATTGATCAAAAGTGGCGTGCAGAGAAGGGTTTGCCGGAAAACCCAAATGCCTTCGGCCCACTTACCAATTCCCCAGACTTCACATACCTAGATGGCAGACCTACGCCCCTGGGAGTAAGTAATAGTGTAGAACCGTTGGGTCAAAAGACCCTACTGTTTTAAAAAATAGGTTAGGTGCAAGTTGCTTAGCTCATGTTTTTTGATTCGGTCTAAACATTCGGCAAAACAGATGAAGCTCCAAAATGCTCAAGCTTAGAAAAGATCAAACACTGAAGAGATTAATTAAACTATTTAACTAATTAAAACCGATTTAATATAATTGATCAATTATTAAGGTTCTTAACAGTATGTCGTTGACATTGGCGCAATGAGCAATCTGAATTGTAGATTGATCTATTCGGCTTAATATTCAATAAGAAACAAGATCAGCTCTTGCAGGTCTTTACTATGTACTTCCTCAAAACCATTGAAGTATATATATATTATATTCCTTTAATTATAGGCCAACCAGAAGAGACGACTGCTGAAGCAGCAGGAAATCGCCGCCAGAATCGTGGAGCTTAGTGGGGAGCTTGAGTTTGCCAAGCAGCGACATGAACGCCTCAAGCAAAGCGCCGAATCCGAAAAGCAGCGCCTTATCCAAAACAAATTGAAGCCCAAGGGCCACCTGCTATTTAAACAAAAAAAATAGCCTCCTAATCCTAGCCTGTATAAGTTAATTTAAGTCGCTTAATGAATGGAGACGAAATTAAACGATGGTCTTGTGATGTGGACACATGTTTGCCCAAAACACGTTTCAAAAACGTTCCACAAACAGCAAGCGTGGCGCATTCGACAGTTCATTAGACGTATTGCTAATGAGGATTTAATTGCAACGGGGCAAAACACCTGCCGCATCTTAATTGAGTGTTAAAACGTCAGTGACGCACTTGCCTTAGTAACGTGTCCTGGCATTTAGACGAGATGAAAGCATTGCCTGCTTTTCCGAGAGGTCTAAGTCTAGCTATTAAGGCGGGAGTGGGCTCCTATTAACACATAAGCTGTTAATAGAAGGCTTACCGCTCGCGCATTCGAGTCACTTCTCAAAGTATTTTTGTAAACAAGGAAGTAAGCGTTTTCTTGTTTATCTGTAAGTGATTGTCGAAGGCCAGTTACAGGCTGGACCTCCTCTTCCGGCCTGCGCAATGTGGTCAATATCCCACTGGAGCAACCTGGAGAGATTAACATATCGATCGTGCCAGCGAAGCCAACCAGCCATATCAAATGTGAAGCCTAATATTTGCCATTATCAGTAAATATGTTCCACCGTTTATCAGCTTATTATTTGCACACCTTGCCAGTGGAGCTCCCTTGTTTTTCCGAGTGTTTGACTTTTCGGTTAGGATATCAAGAATTTGGCACGACCCGAAAATGTTTATCTTCGATTCGGTTGATCGTTCGCTCATAAACCAAACACCGTCATAATTAAATCTCCAGAAACGTGCTCTACTTAGGCTTGTTTTCGCAAAGACCGTTTAACCGATTTATTGGTTTTAAATTGGGGAATAGCGTGCCTGGTTAACGTTCAAACAGGGTTAAGAAACATCCGACTTTGCTAATCTTAACACTTCCCGAAAAAAACAAACAAAATTGAAGATCCATTGATCCCCTTGGTGGCAGACATAAAAATTTCCATAACTCTTTGTTACTATCAACTCACACCAGGCCAAAATTGGTAAAAGTGGCAATTAAATAAGCGGATAATGTGCCACTGTAAATATTAAAATATTGCAGGGTGCAAATTTAGCTATTTACATTCGCACATTCGGCCAACAAAGAAATCAAGTCTGAGGAAATTTTCTAAGCAGATGATCGTCACTTGGAGACGGCTTAGAGTGCAGAATGTTTGTCGCACTTCTTGCAGAAATTAGCCGAGGGGTACGAAATTTGGCACCGCCTTTCAGGTTTCGTGGTCAGCGGGGGTGTGACAAAAAAAATTATAATCGTGCCTCCACCGGAGCTCTCAATCAAAAGGCAGAAGTAGCTGCGCTGGCCTCCAATGCAGCCAATCGTGCGTATACGTAATGCGATCTGATTTCAACTGGATTGTTTATGTTTCCTTACCGCTGGCAAATCTCGCACCTTTCTGTTGTTGTTGACGATGTTTCGGGTGTGCAAAAATATTTACCCCCAGTGTGGTGGCATGGAAAAAGGTGAAGTTGTGGAAAACAACTGAATTTTGTTATTTCCCTTAGCGAGCGCTCGGGATTTATATTTATATAATTGTATAAATTTATATAATTAGCGGGTTTATATTTACGACCGAAACTTTTCGAAACAGCCAGCGCTAATTGAGTGCAAATTAGTCTGGGTCCCATCATAGGTCTTTTCCTCAATTTCGTCTGCTAAACGATGCATTACAAGTCTAGTTGGCTTCTGATTCATATCTTCGAGTGCAGTCATGCCCCTTTTTGGAGACTGATTCAAAGCGTCAACCGCAGCCAGGTCGAGTGTGTTTGCTAATCATTTTATTGCTCCCGAAAGCCGTTCATGTTTTACTAGAAAATCATGGTATTTATCACTTCCTGAGTCAGCCGGCAACATTTTCACGACGAATTAATTAACCGTCGCATGAACCATTGCGGTTGGATATTTATAAAGTCTGAGCAGTATTTTTAGACGCCTTCTTATTTGCGTATCTATGCTGATTTATAATAAAAACGCCGAATTTCGTTACAACGACATTCGGGGTCTGGATTTAGACTTAGCGTGTGACCACACAAAAATTACCACCCGGCGACCACAGCGCCTGGTACACATATTACTCATGCGCCGTGTGCGCCGCAAACCGAGATCCGAAAGCCCCTAATTACTTTCTACCGTTCACTGCCCGACGTCAGAGCGCCTAAAAGCAAAATTAATATTTATAATTAATCTGAATCAAAACAAAATAGTCTCAGACAATGGGGGAATTCTGGGGGAGCGTAACTTTCCGCATTGTAAAAATTTTTCCGAAACAAACTGGCTCGACGCTAACCGAAACGGTGCACCCGGCAATTAGAGCCTTTCGTCCCACCGAATCCCATAGAGATAAGACCAAATCGTTGTCACAGCGTCCGCGCATGCGCAAAAACCCCGACGTCAACCGAAGATCGTCGAAAATGTCGCTGCGTTTCCTCCAGACTTGCGTCACAACCAGAGCATCGTCTCTGCCCGAAAGCAAATTTTCACATTTGGGTGCGAATATGGCGGCCGGTGCGTATATAAAGGAAGGGTTCTTCACATCAAAGCACACAGAACTCACCAGACGTTCAAAGCAATCAGAGCAACCAGACGGAAATCAAAGGATAATACCCAACTGCTTATACCGAAAAACACAATGGATCTTAAGGTAAGCACGGCATAAGAGAGATCACTGAGGCAATCTAGCTCACCCAGTCTTTCTCCCCTCAGCAATTGTACTCGTGGGTCTGCCTGCTGGTCAGCATCATCATCTGCAAGGTGTCCCAGTCCAGTGCAAAGCCCACCTACTATGACCTGGATAGCTACGAGACCTACGACACCGATCGCTATGACACCAACAGCGGCTCCTCGTACGCCCTGAGCTATGGAAAGCCCCTGACGGATAACAGGCTTAAGAAGTTGAGCCCGGGCTACTACTACGTGGACGACGGCTACATCGCCCCCGTGGCCGCCAGTGCTGGCTACACCCGCCGCGAAGATGCCAACTCCGAGGGCGGTGCCCTGCCACACAACGTCAAGTTCACCCCGATTGTGCGTGTCCGGCAGACCAAGACCAAGCGCAAGAAGCTCTTCGTGCCCAACTTCTTCGGCTAGAGGAAGTCCTTCCGGTCCTACTGCCGGGACTGAGAGTACAGACTGAGGATGATTAGCATAGGCTTAGTTGTAGGATTAGTCGCGTGGCTCCCACACCAAAAAGTACCTTATACTGTAACCTATTTTATACGCGGCCAAAATCTGACCAAATTATATTTATATACGCAAACCTACTAAATATATACCCAAATTTATGAAATAATTTCTCAACTAAATAATCATTTTTGCGGTTGCATGATGAGTGACCACAAAAATGACAATCGTGAATTTTGTATTAAAATTTGTTTTTACAAAAAAGTGAGACAAATAAGTCGTGATTGTAATTTACAGTTGCAAAACGAATAAGTCTCCTTAATCGAGCATATTCCGATATCAAAAGTAAGTTCCAAAGAATTGAAATTATGATCGAACTTTTTGCAATTTCGATTTGCGGTAAACGCTTTCCCTGACATTGCTCCCACCTTTTAATAAAAAGTGCCGAACAAAATTTGATCAACCGTAAAGTGTCTATTTAATTGGCAATTCGGTGCTAATCGAACACTTAGTCGATTGATTGGAATCAGAATAGCATTTGTTATTATTTATACTTGATGTAGCTAGAGTAAACCTTTTTAAATGATGTGATCATTTTGAAATAAATAAATAAATAATAATGAGATGAGAAAAACATATTTTTGTTTAATTCCCCTTGCAAAAAAGATTGTGAATTATAATAAAAATGTCAATAAAGCTCCTAAATAATAGAAAATTGTTGACCAATTTTTTTATTTTGAATAACTAAGATCAGGCTAAAATATGGGATGGTGCATAAGGTTTTACCGCGACAATAATCCCAGCCAGTTCTAGATATTATATTAACATTCCTTTTCGAAAGTTGTATGCTATTTTAAGCCCATGGTTTTCCCGTTAAACCAAAAAATCTTGGCGGAATGCAATTTAAATTGAAAAGAATTGCAGATTATCTTAATTTCTGTGACCCAGAGGTAAATTAGTAATAGTAGTTGCAGGTCGGAGGGTTTTGGGCATATTTTACATACATTTTTTTTTCACACAAATAATGTCACACACTTCTTTTTTTCAACATCTGCTGCATCAAGCCGTTGCATGTTTGCATGGGATTTTTATTATTTGTACTAAATTATATTTCTGGGTGCATTGCTATCCTTTTGTTTGTATTTGTGCCTGCTATGCCATAAGGTGGATTTGAGCACCTCTGTATAAAACCATTGACTTAGGGCATTAAATAAATTAAAATCAGAAATAATTATTTTAAAAAGTGTTTGATATAGTTATAGGTAGATGGTGGATACGGAGCTTCACCACTGCCAAAAAGCTCAGTGGGATTTGTGTATAATAGTCGTTCAAGGCGTCGATAACTTAATTTAGAAACATCGACGTATCGATATAACAGCTGTCGTCATTTGTGGAAGAAGAGGAGAGATTTGCAAATTTACAAAGAAGCCAGGAGAAAATTATTCGTGGTTCAAGATGAGCTTCATGCAACCGAGTCCCGTTAAGTACGCGTGCTCCTGCGGCATCCTGAACCCCATCAACAAGCTCTTTTTCTGCCGGCACTGCCCAAAGCTGCACTGTGGCTTCTGCGTGACCCATGAAATCGAATCGCACTTTTGCTCCAACTGCCTGGAGAACATCCCATCCACGGAGGCAAAACACAAAAAAAACTGCTGCGCCAACTGCTTCGACTGTCCCTGCTGCCAGCACACCCTGTCCGCCAGAGCATCCACGGTTCCCGTGGTGCGTAAGTCTGAAGAGTCAAAGGACGTCAAAGAACCTAAGGATGGCGATTCCACCGGCGAAGCCACGCCTCCTGTCCCGGCTAGCAGCAAACCCTCGGCGGTGCCAACCACTAAGAAGATGTACTATCTATCGTGCCTGTCCTGCCGATGGACAACCCGGGACGTGGGCATTCCCGACCAGGGCGTGGCGACAGGCACCTGGCCGGATAACGAGTGCCTGTACCAGGCGCGATTCAACGCCTTGGTCGAGTACTTCCAGGCAGTGGTACTGCAGGAGAAGCAGGAGAAACTGGAGTTTATGCGGCGCAAGGCCCCCAAGCAGCACAAGTTTCCCAGCCTTACGGATCGTACTGGCCTGACGGTATCGCTTATTCGACGCCAGATCGGCTGGAACGACAAGGTTCCCAAGGCCAAGGCCGTCATCACGCCGGCGGAGTCCACTTCGGAGGTGGAGGGACTGCCGGCAAACATCTTTACGGAACAGCCAAACCTGCGCAATGTCACGACCATCGCCCAGCGCCACAGCCAGCCGGCGGATCAGCCTACTGCCGTGGGCAGTTTATATCCGCAACGGCGGTCGCTGTGGATTAAGCGTTCGCTGCGCTGCCGCCAGTGCGAGCACAACCTGATCAAGCCGGAATACCATCCCACATCAATTAAGTACCGCATCCAGCTCTTTGCCAGCTATCATGTGCCTGAGGTGGTGATGGTGCGGTGCGAGCAACCGCTGGTGCCTGGCAAGAGCAACGCAATCCTTCTAAAGCTCACCAATCCGACCATGTACGACATGACCATTCGCCTGTTGACTGCAGCACCCCCCGAGGATGCCCAAGTATCAGCGGAGACCACTCGTGTTGTAAAGGAGGAACCGATTTCTTCGTCCCCACTTCTCAAGACTGTTGGCATCACCCTGTCGCGTCAAAATTCAACCCGGGAGGTTAAGCGTGAGGTTATAGATGCCTCCAATGCAGAGATCGTGCCATTGGAGAGCGAGTTTGTGCTCAGCCAGCGCGATGATTCTAAGGAGTTCGATGAGTATGTGCAGCTGCCCACCGAGGAGCCCAAGTTCATTGTCTGGCGCAAGGGCAACAAGGTTCTAGTGCGGCTCCAGTTCACCCCGGCAGAGGAGCTGGCCTTTGGCACGGACGTCGTATTGGGCTTTTTCATGCAGTACACGTACGTCAACACCGTAACCAATGCGTCCGAGAAGAAGGAGCCCACCACGCATGCGCTCCACTCCAGGGTGTTCATCACAGCGGGTGCAACGGAGCAAAAGGCCACCTAAAATGGAAATTTAGTCATGTGGAATATAAATCGAACTTATCAGAATCATAAAGCACGCTTTTTAAAAGCGAAAATAGGAAAATATATTAATACAACATATTCGTGAAAAAGCTAGTATTACAATTGAATAAACCGCTTGTTCTAACCCTGATCGGTCTGTTTTATATCTTTCTATTATATATTTATATATTATTTACACTTTATATATATATAATTGCTCGGTCTTCAGTTACTTCACAGGAGCCGTGTTCTCTTATTGCTAAGTTTCAGGTTGACCCACGATCTTTGGTTTCTTAACATCGTCTTTGAATTCTGACTTTCGGTTAATCATTTTTAGCTAAAGGTGACTCATCCTTGGATTTATTTTCGGTATCCTTGGTTGCTAGCACTTTTGGTACATTCAAACCCGTCCACTTCTCACTTTCAGCCCACAGGAACTTTCCAACAGCATCATCCAAGGCTGCAGCAGCGACATCCTTGGGCTTGCAGTCGCTAAAGTACAAGCCAGTGACCGTCTGTAGTTCCGGATCCAGGGCAGCATAAATGGAAGTCTGTGCTCCACTTTTAGGCGTCTTCAAAAGCGGCCAAATCATGGGCTTGATGAAATATCTAATGTATAGAAATTTACTAACATAGTTCCTTCTTCATTTAGCTTTCACTTACTTCACCAAGTTAGACTGGAAGAAGGCCCAGTTCCGCGCCAGCTCTGTGTCCACGACACCAGGATGAAGGGAATTGACTGTGACGCCACTACCGTCTAAGCGCTTGGCCAATTCTCGGGTAAATAGGACGTTTGCCAACTTGCTTTGGCTGTAGGCTAGGCCCTCATCATAGGACTTCTCGCTGTTTAAGTCAGCCACATTAATAGCACCACGGGTATGGGCCAAACTGGACACGACGACAACGCGACTGGGAGCCGATTTCTGCCAAATTTGCCATATTCTAATGTGTTATCCTGATTTATGAATATATGTATATACCAGCATACCTTCAGCAAATCGAGCAGCAAATTGGTAAGCAAGAAGTGGCCAATGTGGTTAACACCCAATTGCATTTCGAAACCATCCTTGGTTAACATCTTGGGACAGCGCATCACACCGGCATTGTTGACTAGAACATGTAGCCTGTCCTGCTCTTTTTTGAAGCTAATTTGTTTGGGAATAAGCCTTGTAACAGATATTCCTTAAAAGGTTTAATTGGTTAGCTCACCCAGCTACAAATTGACGAATGGACTCCATGGAGCTCAAATCCAGCTCCCGAGAGAAAATATTCTGATTATTCGTCTCTTTGATGATTTCCTTGCGGGCCCTATCACATCGGCTCATATCCCTGCAAGCCATGTACACTGTTCCCCCTCTTCTGGCGATCTCCAGAGCAGTCTCTTTGCCAATACCGGTGTTGGCTCCCGTGACAATAAACACCTTTCCGGTTTCATCAGTCTCCTTTGTGAACTTGCCGCCCTGCATGTATTCCCTAAAATTACGAACAAGAATTATAACAAGAACATATCGGAATTTTAAGTGAGAGTCATGGTTCGTCATCATCGTAGATTTCATTTATTGAAAGAACTTACTTCAAGAGGTAGACAGACACGCCTGTGATAGCTGGCCACAGTATCAAGGGGCTTAATAAACAATCGATGAAAATGCACATTTTGAATATTTTTAATTTCGTTCCTGTGATGGTGCTGTCAGCTGTGAATTGCCAAGTAGAATGCGAGCAAAACAGTGAGAGCAGCTGTTTAAGTACTACTGATTAACACGACTACTTCGACAAAAATTATACATATACTTATATGTACGTTATTGCCAATCACGGTGAATAACGGCGTAAACGGGAAAATCATGCGTATTTTTTTTAAGAGTGGTTAAAGAAAGCCCAGAATAATAATAATAATCTTTTGAAGTTATCCTGATGATTATATTCAATTACACTGGAGAGGTAGCTCAAATTCGGGAAAAACGTGGATTATTTTATATATGTACATATGTACATATAGACATGTACGTTTGTCCAAACCTTTTGTTATTTTTATGCATTATCAAGCAGCATAATACAATATAAAAATAATTTGCCAGTCAACAACCCCCGGATTAAGGGACATTTGATATTTGCTGATCATGATTTTTTATCCGTTGCCTAGACAAAAAAAAAAAAAAAAAAAATAATTAAAAAATAAAAAAAAAAAAAAAAAAAAAAAAAAAAAAAAAAAAAAAAAAAAAAAAAAAAAAAAAAAAAAAAAAAAAAAAAAAAAAAAAAAAAAAAAAAAAAATTTTTTTAAATATATTAAAATTAAAAAAAAAAAAAAAAAAAAAAAAATTTTTAAAAAAAAAAAAAAAAAAAAAAAAAAAAAAAAAAATAATTAAAAAAAAAAAATTTTTTTTTTTTTTTTTTTTAAAAAAAAAAAAAAAAAAAAAAAAAAAAAAAAAAAAACAAAACCAAACAAATTTTTTTTTAAAAAAAAAAAAAAAAAAAAAAAAAAAAAAAAAAAAAAAAAAATTAAGATCAATGATTATACGCGTCCACTATCTTATGAAATTTATTAGTGATCATATTGCTCTAACGGACTCGGTAAATGTGAATATTGGCAAAAGCCCATAGCACCGAAAACTGTAAAATGTTAAAATTTAATACTCGGCTAAATCGAAAATTAATAGAAACAAATATAAATTGTTATAAATATATTTTCGATCACCAAATTCACTATAAAGAAGGTTTTATATACATGTGTTATTTAGAAATATGCATTAGGTGCTGTACTATTCCTCATATTATTTATTACCAAGGTAAGCTTTTAGAAATTTCCTAAGGACTTTTAATATTAAATCCAATTTTAGCTTAATTGTACGGAACTTACCAAAAACAATTATAAATTCATTTTTCAATTGTTTAATACCCGACACTTTTTTTGAAACTGTTATCGTTATTTTGCTTTTTCAGGAGTTTCATCCCTAAGTCGACCCAGCTCCAATCAGACTGATTCTCCCGCTCGAATTTAATTTAACCAGGAAATAAACAAAAACATTCAAAATGTTTGTACCCGAAACGGAGGATATGCTGCCTAGATCGGCGCCCAGGCCAAGTGCAGCGGTGCCAATGGGGCACACCAACGAAATAGTACGACCCACTGTGCCTGAGGTGTCCATATTGTTTGGTCAAGCGCCGCAGGATCAGCAAATTCAGGTGCAGCAGCAGCCTCTGCAAGAGCCATCACCTCGCGCTGCGCCGACTTTTGCGTCTTGGAAGAAGCAGATGCTTCCCCGGGTCAACTTCTCGCCCATCCTTGCCACGGAATTGGGACCACGAACTCCTCCAAACAACAGTGGTCCTTGCTCATCCAACGAGTACATTATGGCGACGAGGAATCGCAACTACACAAACGATGCACCACCAAGTGGAAATCAAATGGGCGCCAGCAATTCAGGAGGGTATAATGCCGAACCCAAGCAGCAGACTTATCAAGGCAGGCGCTTGTCCAGTTCGTCTAACGCTGATGTCCTAACGATTTGTGCTGGTACACAAACCGATTCCTTTAACCCAACTCCTCCGCGTAATTCCCTGCCCTCAGTGGTTTACTCGGACATTGACGTCAGCAACCTGGCCAATAAGACTGACTTGGCGGAACTGGTTTCCCTCATGGAGTCCATGCGCCAGGAGCAGCAGCAGCTTAAGAATCTTTGTTTGGTGCTTTTGGAGCAACAACAGCGAGTGAAACCCGAAGCCATCTCGAAAGCCAGCAGATCAACTGCTATTCAGTGTGATATTTTGACTACCAATAATGGTGGGTAAAACATTAAAGTAAAGCCAATGGTTATAAATTCATGGTTTTCAGGCAGACGAATATCTCCGATTATACAAGATTACATAGCAGAAGATGAGGAGCCAGTAGCCTCGCCTCAAGCTCGAGTGATTCCGCAGTTTCAATCTCCACGATCCACTCCGCCCATGGCTCAATCTACGGGCTATCGGGCTAATACGCCCCAAAGTAAACGGATTCCTCAACTGGCCAAGCCAAACACCGAGAAGAGCATGGTGATGAACGAACTCGCATTAAAGTACTTGCGCCAGCCCGTCGACGAGCTTATGAAGGAGATTCGCCTAGGCTCGTCGCCGAAGTCCCCTAATCCAGAACCCCTTCGCCAGATTGATAATCTCGCCCACTCCCAGAGTCCCAACGACATTTCAAATGCTTCGTACAAGTACCTCAAGAAATACCGCCTGCTGCCCGAGGAACAACTGGAGCAAGTGTGCCCACGATCTCCAACGGCAGCGGCGGCCTCCTCGCCACAAATGCAACTTGATTTGGAGAACATTAGGAACCAGCCGAAACTGTTGTGAAAGCAAAGATCATTTTTTTTGTTATTTATGCATATGTCTATTTGCGATTTAAGTGGAAATATATTTCAATATACGGAATAACGTTGACACTCTGGCAGCCTACATTAACAAAGGAAACCACACTTTGTTTACAAAACACAATAGACATTCATAGTAAAGACACAATAACTATATACGTTTAGTGAGCTTGGCGCGGCGCGGCCAGAAAGGAGGCTCTAGCGAAGGACTAACTGCAGCTCGGATGCGGATTGCAAGAGAACCTTCAGTCCCTGCATGAAACCCGCACATTGCGCAAAGTCCGTGCCGAAGGCAATGCGTGTGTGGATTTCCAGTGCATTGGCGTAGTCGGATATTTGAATGTACTGTATTATTTGATTCAGATATTGCACCGTTGTGGGAGTAAGCTAGAAGATAACAATTTTAAGTTACCAAAAATAATTTGACTGTTCTGCGAGCAGACTTACCTTGCCTTCTCTTAGGCAGTCGTAAAGATTTTCGAGCCTCTTTACCACATCAACAAACTTACGTTTTGTGCGCTATTAATGAAGAGCAATAACAATTTTAGGGTAATCTCTAGTAGACGTTGCTCAACCCCAAAATCGGGAAATAATTACCTTATCGAACCGCGATTTCTTAAGAATTTACGCCAAAAATACTCTCGACCATACACTTAATGGAAATTTAATATAGCTTGTTTTGGTATAAAAATCAGGTAAGCTTAGCAATAAGTTTGTATAAAATCAAAAATTTTATTAAAATGTGTTAGAAAAACGTTTTAACAATTAGATGCTTGTACCAGTCGTAAATAATGCGAATGAAAATTCAGAAACAAAGCAATTCAATTCTTTAAACTAATTTTTTTTTTGCTGACTGACAGAAGCACCATGATTGTTCCGCGATAAAACTCCCTGATAATTAATATTTTTTCGATTTTTGAGGGTGAGCACAGTCTTTTAGTTAGTAAGGCTTTAGCGATTTTTAGTAAACTGTCTAAAAATCCTTAGCAATTCGAATAAGAATTTTACTCACTGGGTCATTTGTTGCACTCAGGCAGCGGTTCTTAAGCTCCTCCAGCACCGTTTGCAAGTAGATGTACTCCTCGGGAAGTGGTGGCTTCTCCTTTGGAGGCTCTGGCTGACGCTGCTGCTGGATCGGAGCTGGCTGCTCTGTATAGCCAATCGTCTGCTGCTGCCCTTGCCAGTTCTGATGCTGAGGTCCTCCCTGATTCGGAATTCCCGATTGCTGAAGCTGTTGCTGCGGCTGAAGGTAGGATTGCTGATGCTGCTGCTGGGGATTGTTGTTAAAAGCAGTCGGGTTGTAGTATGCATTATGTGCTCCTCCAGGGGGTGGTGCATTCTAAAAGTAATGGTGTGAATAATGATTCAACAAACCTAATTTAAATTAAGAAAGTCATAAATTACCTGATATTGAGCGGGGTCCACGTAGCCATTTTGGTTTTGATTGGGATCGACTGGGAACAATGGATGGAAGATGGCAGCACTAGATTCAACAACTGGTTTCGGCTTGGGCTGAAAAGTAAACATTTTAAACATCACTGCAATTGTTATTCGTTACGAACACTTACCGCCCGCGATGATTTCAAAGCAGGGGGATCGTTCCAGCCTGGCGGTGGTGTCGGATTGCGTTGTACATTCTGGATGACCGGTGGCACAGCTTGTGGCGGCATTGTCTCGATGGGATTGACGCCGGGCAAAAATTGGTTCTGTGGAGCTGCCATGAATGGCGATGGGTTGTATGGTTGGGCAGACGCAATGGGGTTCGTGTTGAAAGCATTGCTATTAAAAGTTGGCACGTTCGCCGGCTGGGGTGCCGGTCCAGGCACTCCTCCACTGAAGGGAACTGCCGAGGGTACGGGGGCGGGTACGGGATTGTACGGCATGCCATAAGAACTGGTTGGAGCCGCCACAGAGGGATCAAGAACGTATTTGGACCGCCCAGAAAGTCCTGATCCACCAGAGCCTGATGCTCCTCCTGTCGGGGGAGGACCACCCGAGGAGCTGGCATTGCTTAGGGGTCGGGGTGGGTGTGCCAAAGGCTCTGGCTTGATGGGCTGTGGATTGAATATCTGCGGAGGCGGTTGCGGCTGTTGGGCTCCTGGATAGGTGGTCTGTAGTGGAGGAACTGGTGCAGGCCAGCTGGGCTGGACATACTGATTTGTTGGCTGGCCGTATGGCTGGGGAACCGATGGCTGCGGCTGCGAGAACGATCCCCTACCTCGCTGCTGTTGGTAGCCAAGTGGAGCTGCAGCAACCGGTGCCTGTGGCTGGGAGTAGTCCAGGTTCACAGCGTTGTTGATCCGATCCCGCAGGCTTTGCAGAATTGCGTTCTCGTTGGCGGCTCCGCCCCCCAGCGTGGTAATGTACTGCAGCGCTGCAGTGAGCGCTCCCTGGGAGGCCAGAAGACCACCGTACTCAGTCAGAAATCCGGCAAACCGTCCCGCTAGGTCCACGGATATGCCCTGCTGTTCCAGGGACTTGCACATCAGCATCACCACCTCGGCCAAATCCTGCAGCTCTGTGGTGTTCGGCTTGTAACCGGGATTTTGCTGCTCCAGTCGCTTCAACTGGTACCATGCGGTCACCAGCTTGTCGATACTGCCGGCGCAAATGTAGCAGAGCATGGCGTTCCGTGTGAACTCCGCGCTTGAGGCGCACTCACTCAACAATCTATCGCCCAACCGCTCGCAGATGTCGACCACCTTGCGCTCGCTGTGCTTCAGGGCGGCCACCAGAGCCTCCTTCCACGAGTCCACGGTGCAGCGGCTGACAAAGTCCAGCCAGTCACGGGATACCAAGGCGGAAATGACGTGCGACAGGTCGCTCTTCTGCTGCAGCAGGTAGCGGGTTTGCGTGCGGGTCAATGTCTCGATGCCAGCCGTGGAGGCAATAATCAGGGCCTCCGGAATGCGCTGGGCCTCCAGGCAGAGCTCCACGGCAGCCTCCACATTGCCCGTAAGTATGGCTTCTGCAATCAAGCTATCACAGTCTGCAAAATACAATTAATTAATGGTTACCCGTTGTAATAAAAAAGATATAATTTATTGAATCGATATACTTTGGAAAGTAAATTTAATTAAAATAAGTGCTTATTTTCTAAATGCTTTCCGTTGTTATTACTAGTTTTACTTACGATCTCCACTGGGAACCTTGAATTGCGGCCTCGGAGGAGCGGCAAAGTCGTTTTGATTTTGTGAGTCGATGGCATTTCCATCAAACTTGTTATCTTGCGTCTGCTGTTAATGGAAAATTAATAAATAAGTTAAAATAAGCCCTTTTAACTGTTTTTTAAAGCTGCTAGTAATTTTTACTTCGATCAGGAGTCTTGAATCTTGGCTCTTACCGAATTATCGGTGCTATAATTTGTACTCTGATCGCACTCAACCTCCGAAGAGTCGCTCTACAGCAATGGCACGGAGTATGTTATCGGATAGAAATATACAGAGCAAGATGAGCATACGTGGTTGATAGTTCGTGGAATGAATATTTTTCGGAACTGATAAGAGCGCTCATACGAGTACTTACATGGGTCAGTGTCGAAATGCGGGTTGTAAGAGTATCCACGTCCGATTGCGAGTTTCCCTCCGTTTCCTTGATAAACTTGTTGAACTTGCTATCAGTGTCGTCTTTGTTGTAGCCTTAAAAAGTAAGAAGTGTTAGTTTATGTCCACTGGTGCGTTTAGAGCTGACCTACCCAAGAGATTGAGCATTTCCTCCTTGGGATTTAGCTCAAAGTTCGCCTTGATAAAATACCAGATGTAGCGCCCATGCTGATCCAATGTCTCGTCCGCCCTCTGCCTGCAGTATTCTGAGTAGTTGGCATCGACAAGAGAACGTTCCAAAGCATTGGCCCGCTCCACTAAAGCAGATTCGGTGGTTAACTGCTGGACTTTCACCGTTTTTGAGGTTCCATCGAAGCTCACTAGCTTGCCACCAAACTGAAAATAGTAAAAAGGGTTTATTAAATAGGTTTAGAAACTACTTGAAGGCCAACATACGCCAAAGGCAACGCCACAGGGTCGCTTCATCCACTTGGGAGCGTGTGCTAGGTCATGGTAGATCACTTGCGTGGCCTGCTGGGGAATCGGCTCCTGTGCGAACTGATCCATGCCCGGAAACGAGTCGGCAATCTTGTTAGCTGTCTGCACCAGGTGATGGGTGCCTCCATGCAGGGAGTAGATAGAAACAGCACCCTCCAAACTGGCGCTGGCAATCAGAGCTGGATTCCGCGGGCAGAACTGCACATCGGAGTACCAGGAGGCCGTGGTTGCTACTTCAGACAAGATTTCTCCCTCGGGGATCTTGGTATTGGGATTCCAGCAGTAAATTCGGTTGTCTTTGCCACACGAAACCATCAGGTCGTTGTCTTGCTGGCACCATGACATTCCCAGCACTCCGCGCTCATGGATCTGGTATGTTTTCGCTGGAGCAGTGGCATATCGTAGATCCCAAAGCTGCACCACCGGCGCCTGATCGTCCTCCGAGGCCAGCCAGACCTGCGTCGCCGCCTCTGGATGCCACTCGATGGCATGCCACCGCACACGAGACTGGGAGTCCGAGAGTTTGATGATCTGTTGGCTCTTGCGCAGATCCCAGATCACGCAGCGTGTGCTAAACACAGAGGCCAGGATGTGCTGAACCTGCCGGTTCCAGGCCACGTTCTTTACGTCCTCTAACGGCTGTGTCTTGGCGCCGGGGCTCATGCTGGTTTCCGGGTTGTTAAGGTCCCATATTAAAATTTCCGACTCAGACGCGCACGAGGCAAGCAGGTTGTTCTGGAAGGGATTAAAGTCCAACCCGCTTACTGCGCCCGTGTGCTTGTCCTGCCGCTTCAGGAGCGGCTCTTCCTTGCCGGCAAGCAGCTTGTCGGCTGAGTATATGTTGATCTGACCCGCCTCGCAGCCGCCCACAATCAGGCCACTGGGATGTGGTCCCACGGGGCTCCAGATGAGTTTTTGGAACCTGGCGAATAATAAGCCGGTTTAGTGACGACTGTTTAAGATCTTGTGGACCTTTAAAACCTTACTTATACTGGCTGGCCACGCTGGCCCTAAGCTCCAGATCGTAGGTAGCATCGCTAAAGTTCGGAGAGTACAACTCCAGAGTAGAATTCGCGTTGGAATCGAATTGCTGGGCAGCGGTGCCGGCGGCCAGGAGAATTTGCTGCTGCTGCGCCGGCGACCAGGCGATGTTCACCGTCTTTTGCAGTTCCTTGATCTTCATTTTGCAAACGTCCCTCGTGCTGTAAAATTAATTAAGGCGAATAAATGTAAATATTATTTGGGTTGCACCATTAAATCGAAATTGTGTCACGTCCAATTGGAGTAAGCCCCGTCATCACTTTTTCCCCATTGGCATCTATGATGCATTTTTGCACCCATATAGTCCCCTTTGTTATAATAACAGTAAATTATGCTAATTACGCCACTTACACTTAATTGGGAATATAATTTACACTCGCTTGCGCTGCAACGAGACTTTTTATGCTTAAATTTAACTGGAAATATTAATATTTTTAAGAACCGTAGGAACGGCCAGTGTGACCGCGGTCTGAGCCACGCAATATACCGTTCGGCACGGATACAAAATCTAACACGGATAAATATACTAAAACCAAATCTTTTTTCGAAAATTGCTGTTAATAATAAAACGCCTTAATATTCTACACATTTTAAAATAATTATTTATGTGTATTATAATAATTTATAATTTATTTATTAATATAATTTATATTCTGCCCATTATCCGGATTAATTGGATTAAATATTAGATCGTTTATTTTCAATTACATTTTCAGTTTCAACTCAAACTAAATTTTCAATACACCTATTTATTTTTTAAAAAAGACTCGAATGTTTATTGGTTTATTATACTTCTCATAAATATTAGCTATATGTAATACGGATGTTGTGCATTCTCTTATTTAACGGAGGAAATGGCCGTGACGCGCTGCTCTACTTTGGCCACCTTTATGTTGATGGTCTCCAGATTCTGGGCGAATGTTTCCTGTACCGAATGCAGCAGTTCCTTGTTGTTCACCAAGCTGGTGGTAATGGTGCCCTGCTTCTGCTCAATCTCAGCGATGATCTTGGCAAAGTTGTTTGCTAAAGGGTATTTTAACAATTAATTACGCAAAAAAAAGGGTCACTAACAAAGTTTACCATATTTATGGAGAGACTCGAGGGCTTGCATGCGTTCGATGACGTGCGGCAGTATTTCCACCACGGGCTCAGTGCGCTTCGCAATGTCGTAGAGTTCCGTGATCTTCTGGTCGCGCTTCGCGTCCTGGGCACTCCCACTGGACTTCTCGGCGATGGCGTCCATCTTGCCGGCCAGCGAGGTCAAGCGCTGCTCGATAGTGTCCAGTTTGTCCGGCTGCAGCAGCGCCGCCTTAGTGCTGAGATGGCGCACGGCCTCCAGCACATTGGTGGTGTTGGTGGCGGCGGTCAGACGGCTCAGCTTGTCCGGCTGGGCGCCCACCACCTTCTCCAGCTGAGAGAGGCGTTGCTCCAGGCTGGCAACTCGTGCGGTGGCCGCTAAATCGGTGCCGGGCGTGGGTATGGCAGTAAGAACACCCGACTGCTTAAACTCCTCCACCTGGCTAATTAGCGCCTTTACCTGCTTGCTGCCGGGCGCTTGTTCCTTTCCCAGCACTTGCTCCAGCTTCAGCGACTCTAAAACCTTTCGGGCCGTGCTGATGACCGTGGCCACCGCATCATACGACTGCTTCTCCTCGTCGGCGATCTTACGGTCCACCTGCAGGGCGGCCACCTCGTTCAACAGTTCGTTCATCTCGATCTGCAGGCGCTGGCACTTCTGCACGGGCGTCTCCTTTTCGCCCTGGCCTACCAGCTCGTAGTCTCCGGATCCGCGGGCATCATATCCCCGGCACACCCGGCGTCCAATGCGATCCGTGAAATCCACACTTCCCTCGAGAGTTGCACCGCTAAATCGCTTGTGGGCGACACTGGGCGAGATGTGTAGTCGCTCAATGGCCTCATTCTCCGGCTCCTCCTCGTAATAGTCGGATGTATCCGGTTCCAACTCATCGGGAGTTTCAAATACATCTGGCTGGTCATAAGCCTAAATGTAGGACAGTAAGCAAGTATCCAATAACGAAAGCTCGCACGTCAGTGCTATGAGGAGTTCCCACTTACTATTCCCGGCAGGTTCTGGAACTTGGGGTCGGCCATTACTGTGGGCACGTCGACTGCGGTGTTCGGTATTCTTGGGCGACGAAATAGTTATTGTTTTAAGCCTTGCAAAAATTCTTTTCTTTTTTGCTATAAGCAATCTGATGTCATTAAAAATGTGACTGTATCCAGTTCGCTTTTCCCCAAAGTTGGTATTTTAAATTGCGGTATTTTAATTTTTAACCGAAAGTAATATGGTAATCATTTTTAACGGTTAAGCTGGGCATTGAAATTATGATTTCTATCCTAGTAACACAACAAAATTAATAACTACTATTAGAAGAATTAAATATTCATACGTATGGTTATCCATAAAATGAGCTTTACTGTTATTGAAGATTGAAATTAAGTAGTACATATGTATATACTACAATATTTTAATGGTTTTGATAAGTAAACAATAATTTAAGAGTATGTGGTTTAATGTTATACACTATTTTTCGAAAAATGTTAAGTGATCTTTCCTTCGGGAGTCTAAAGTCCAAATACCATATTTTTTGGCGGAATATATTTGTTCGTTCAATATCGTTTAATTTTAGGAAATAATACTTCTGCAGAGGTATCAAAGTAGGAAATTCAGTTTTACAGAAAAAGTTAATGAAGTGTCAACTAGAAAGAGCGAAAGAACTTCCTGCGCGTAAATTGGGGAGCCGCCTATAACGATTGTATCTATTGCATCTATATAAAATAAATTATTTGTATCGGTAAAATTTTAAATTCTAAATCGATCTTGTCTCTGGAAGCTATAAGATAAATTCGTCCGGTTTTATAAAATGTAAACAGTATGCATATAATTGTGAAAATATCTCGAAGAATTTTTGTACATGCTTACAAACATTTTTTTTTAATTTCTTATGGCAGCTTTTTCAAAAGTCGCTATATTTTTAAAAAACTGAAACCGTACTTTTGCAATCGAGAAAAATCACTTTACCTCGGAGTATATGGGTATATGTCAAGATATAACGAAGCTATATTTTTATTTCTCTTTTTCCCCTGATAGTTCCTATAGGAGCTATGTACATAGTTGACCGGTTCGGGCCGTTTCGAATTATATTCTACCTGAAATAGAAAATAGCTTTAGAAATCCTGGAGACGCTGATCAATATTATGTATACTTTGTAGGGTCAGAGACTCTGTGCGTTGCATATTTTTGAATATAATTAGAATACTCTCTGCAAGGGTCTAAAAATAAAGGGCTTCCAGTAAAATTAAATTTTTGAATTGGTATTTTCTAGGAATGTTGGGAAAGCGACGATGAACGGTCATACTGTACCTAGTACAGGTACCAAGATAGTTTCGGGGTAGCTTGTGGGTGCTGTGTGTGGGCGGTGGGAGCTGCTAGTTGGTTGGACTAAAATTGCTAATTTCGCATTCGAGAGCAATATAATAATGTCTGGTTTGGAGTATGGCTCGCGCAGGTACGACGACCTGCCGCTGGAGGTGAGTAAATCATATCCATAGTCCCGTGACCAATCCATCATTTCATGCGTATCTATATCTACCATATACCTGTTAGACAGTCAGCTGATTGTGTTTTTTCCTGTTTCGCCCAGATTGTTTTGAAGATTTTTAGCTACCTGGGCTACTCGGATCTCCAGGCGGCAGGATCCACCTGCCAAAGATGGCATGCAGCACTGGATCAGACGGAGTTCAACATGCGCACGCGCGTCTGCTTCTCAAAGGTGGTGCTATCGGATCAACTGAGTCCGGGGGTGGATCTTATGCGCTGCGAGCGCCGCTTCCGGCATTTTATGTTCGAGGACGTGACGCTTGGTCAGGTGAAGGAGCTGATGCGGTTCATGGGCAGGACAGCCCACACTCTGGCTCTGGACAATGTGGACCTTAATGATAAACAGTTCTACGGAATGCTGGGCGTGCTGCCCCACCTACACTCGCTGTCACTGAAGCGCTGCCTGCCGCTGTTCATGTCCGGCTCTTTCCTGGACTCCTACAACAACTCCTGTCCCGACCTGAACGACCTGGCCAGCAACCTAGCAGGCATAAAGGAGTTGACGTTGTGCGAGAATCAGTACCTCACCGACGCCATACTCATGCGACTCACCTCGTTCATGCCCAGTCTGGAGGCGATCAATATGTCCGGCTGTCACATAGCTTTTCACAATGCCATCCATCGCAGATTTTACCCCACCAACAGCTCTTCGGATCACGTTCTCCCCAGCGAATCTGTGCTGACCTTTAAGTTTATCCTAACCATTCTGAACCTACAAAGGCGCACATTGCGCGTCCTGGATTTTAGCAACACATTGATTGGCCAGGCTTTGCTGGCCCTTTGCGACCTTAATCTCCAGCTGCAGCGTCTTTATTTAGCCGGATGCAGGCAGCTTAACTGCGCCACAATCCGCAACTTCTTGACAACCCAGCCCCAATTAAGTGCCCTGGATTTGTCGGCCACGATGTGTGTGAATGATGAGAATCTGGCCGCCCTCGTACAAACTAATCCGGAACTGGAGCACTTGAAAGTCAACGGTTGCTTGAGTATTACGAACGTTGGCGCCATCCACCTGGCCAAGCTAAAGCGTCTCAAAAGCCTTGACATCTCCAACTGCGACGGCTTGACCAGCAGCGGCATCATCGAAGGCGTGGCCAGCGAGGAGAACCATGTTATGGAGGAGCTGAACGTGTCATATCTGCAAATCTGCGAGGAGTGCATCAAGGCCATTGCCAGTAATCTGCGCTGCCTGCGCTCGCTCCACCTGAATCACTGCGTCAATGGGGCCACCGATGAGGCTATCCAGTCGGTCATTGGCCAGTTGCGTTGGCTGCGCGAACTCTCCCTGGAGCACTGCAATAGGGTAAGTCGGAGCATGCAATTTTTGTAAAATGACTCGAGTAAATCTTTTGCAATCCCATTTAGCTAACAGATGCAGCTCTCACGGGGATAAACATATCTAAGCTGGAGCTGAGTCGCAAGCAGTCGGGGTCGCAGGTGTCCTCGATGGACAACTTCTACCCGCCGTTCTGCAACACGCAGGCAGAACGGGACAGTCTGGCAGGATCCCTGCAGTCCATTAAGATATCGCTGAGAAGCAAGGCCGAGGATGAGATTGTGCGGGATGCCAGACGAAAGCAGGCCATGCTGGCCGCCTACGAAATGAACCTGATACGCGAAGATGACTTCGAGGGTCACAACATACAGCAGTTGCGGGGATTGCGGTCGCTAAATCTGCGCGGCTGTAACAAGATCAGCGATGTTTCCTTGAAATATGGCCTGAAGCACATTGAGCTACGACGGCTGATGCTCTCCAGCTGTCAGCAGATTTCTCTGTTGGGCATGGAGGCAATGGTCAGCAGTTGTCCCTCAATTGAGGAGCTCGACCTGTCCGATTGCTACAACATAACGGATAAGACCATCCAGGTGGTAACTGCTAAGTTGCCCCGCCTGCGGTCCTTGCATATCAGCGGCTGCAGCCAGTTGACGGAGCACACACTGGACGCCATCATCAACAACTGTAACTGTCTGCAGACGCTGTCCATCTACCGTTGCCGCAGCATGTACACCGACCTGGAGGAGCGGCTGTCCGGCGTGAGGACGTTGCGTAACCTCAATATGGACAATCTGACAAGCATAGACAACGCCGAATTTTTTCGCCTAAAGAAGCGACTCGATTACTGATATTTCGCCGCCATCTTCATTGTCCTGATTCTGTACTACTTTCAGCTCTACAACTTCCGCTAGTCAATCGCCCCAGCCGCCGGAGCAGCGCACATATATTTATTTTTATCGAATGGCCCCCATCAACTGGGGCTATAGTTGTGAAAGCTTTAGTGAAATATACATTATATGCAGCAGATGTAGATGTATTTGGATATACACTCAAATTTTCACGAACCGCACACTTTTAGATTAGGAAAATTACTATTAAATTCTCATACGTAACGTTTGTCCACATTCAACTGTGATTTTTTGTAAGGTACGACTCGTATGTTAAGTGTACACGATTATAAATTAAGTGATTCAGTTGCCTTAATTGAATTGTTTTTGTTATTGTTGAGCGTTGAAATTATGTTGATTCGTTAATAGTTAAAAATTAGTTAATTCCGTTTAACTAAAAAGCGCCAAAAATATGAATGTTTGGAGAATTAATGAATTCTTGTTGATGTAATTAAATACTTTACAAATAACTAACTCTGTATTAGCTTTAATTGATAATATCGTCGAAAACAGAACAGAATTTTTATGTTTCATTTTATATATTTAAATAAGGACACAAATGAGTAATAGTTTTTACAACAGCAAATGGAAAATAAATACAAAATTTAATAAATGTCTAGAAATATATTTGACAAATATGCATCAAATTCGATCTACCAATGAATTAATATGTAAGCTATTGACTGTTTTTACATCGTTGAAAAGAACAGATACACAACCTTTTGCGATCTTTTTGTATATAATTATAGTCACCAACTAGTGTTTGTGGCCTATTGCAAGTAAAGAAAATCTCAATATTTACTAAATACAAATTGATGTTAATTCGATAGGGTTTTAATTCTTGTTGTCCATACACGGGACTAAATAAAATGTCACGCCACATACAATGTTCGTTCAAAATGAATAGATTTATTTAAAAATGAGTTAAGAACATTTGTTGTTATACGTGCTAGAATCGTCATCAATATATCGTTTTGGAAACAATTCGTCCTCCTACGTACAGAAAAACGATTGTGTAGGATATTGCTTAAAATACATTGCTAAAGTTGACTAGGTAAAAATTCCAGATGTTGTCAAAGTACCGATACAAAAGTGGATCCCGAGAGTCCTTGGACCGTCCATTGTGATTGTGCCCAGAAATCATATGAGAGCGGACCAGCGATTAACCACCGCCGCCTCCGCCGGATAGCTCATCCTCGTACTGTTTGCGGAAGCAGTCACCAACCGGAAAGAAGTCCCAGCTGCGCTGCTGGTACATATTCCACACATATGTCTCCTGGCCGGTGTACTCCGTGTCCGGCTTGTTAATCAAATGCATCAGGAAGAACATGTAGTTGGCCAGGTTGTGCTCCTTCTGGACGTGCGTGTCAAAGCCGTGCGGCACTATATCGAAGAAGTCTTTACCCATCCCGCATATGAAGCAGTTGGACTCCATGTTGTCCTTCACCGACTCCAGCTGGTCACGCAGCTCTCCAAAGGCGTCGATAATCAGACCCTGGATAATGGCCAGCAGGATAATAATGACGAAGAAGAAGAACGTTATGTCAAAGATGATGCGGTAGACCTCGTAGTCGTCTCCGTCCGGATCGCCGATCTCATCGCCAATGCCACCGCCCGCTCTCACACCCTTGTACAGGTGGAACACGAAACAGGTAAGCATGTCGTGGCACTTCTTGTCCACCTCCTCGTCCTCCTCCTGGATGTAGAACTTCCTGAAGAAGTTGAACGCAATCACTGTGTAGATATACACGATAATAGTCAGCAGCATCACAGTCAGGACCAGTTGCTTGCCGTTGTGGGTTACGGACTGCAGGATGGTGCGCAGCGTCTTGAATCCCACGGCAACATCAAGCAGATGGGCAGCAAAGAAGAAGTTGTTGAAGTTGCCCATAACCGAGAAGCTAAAGTACCACAGGGAGTAGAGAAAGGCGTTGTCTGTGAAGGTCACACCCGCTTTCCAAACCTGGTAGCGCCAGTCGATGGACATGATGTACTTGAAGATGCCTGTCTCCTCGCTCTCCTGTGCCGCAAAGGTACTTTTCTCCATGCCCAGTAAATTGGAGATCGAATCAAAGTCGTATGTCTCGCTGTACTTTTGACGAACCTTCTTTTTGACGAACTTGTCCCAGTAGTTCACCGGGAAACTCTTGGCCGAGATCACTAGTTTGTCCCAGTGCGACTTGAAGTCATCATCCTCCGGCTGCTCCGCAATGAACAATCCCTCGAACTCGAGACGGCGAGCAATTTCCTTCTCCCGCTTGAAGATGGCCAGCGGCACTTTGAGATGGTAGTAGGCAATCAGCATGGCCAAAGAGACTAGCGAGTGCAGACATGCCGCAATGCGCAGCACGTGCTCCATGTAAAAGAAGTCCTCGTCCACGTGCACCAGTTCCGGTATTTCGTCCTCAACTTCGCCATCGCCCGATCCTCCATCGCCTGATCCGCCAAATCCAGAGCCCGTAATGTCCGCACCTGCTCCCGAGCCAGAGCCCAGGATGAGCTCCTCTTCTCCGGAACTGTCCGACTCCTCGGTAAATGAGGTGACCTTGTAGAAGAGCAGCATAAAGTTGATACTAAAGGCCAGCACCAAAGCCACATACTTAAGGTTGTAGAAGTTCCTGGCCAGGAAGCTGACGGCCCGATGGGTGTATTGCGAGAAATCGATTTGGTGAACGGCGGGCGTTTCCTGCGGTGCCGAGGATGATTTCTTAGCTTCCGCCTCGATGGATGCCATGGCCGCCTCCTGTGCTTTTTGCGCCTCCTGTCGTTCCTGAGCCGCCTTCTTTGCGGCCTCTCCGCCCAGCAGATCCACAATAGATATGGGCTCCTGGTGCGGTTCACCCTCGACCAATTCGCCACTGGCGGCTGTGCCATCTTCAGGACTGGACTCTCCGCCCTCCTCCATCGACGAATTCGCTGGGGATTCGTGCACCACCACCTTGTACATGCCGTTATCCTCCTTGTTGATGTCCAGGCCAAAGGCTTGCACCGTTCCCGGAGGTTCCTCCAGCGGCAGCGGGGGCAGTGCTCTTCCAAACGTCTCCTCCTCCACCACCGGTTCCTCCTCCTGCTCCGGGGCAGGTCCTCGCATCAGGTTCAGCAGGATGCCGAAAATGTAACGTACCACACAGAAGTGCGCATATCCGGTGTAGTAAAAGATATAGAATATGATCTTGAAAAAGCCCACAATGAGTTCGGGGATGGATTTGGTCTGCATTACGCCGATCTGGTGCTTGATGTTCGCCGGACTAAGCATGTGCACCCCGAACTTGAGTCCTTCCTTGACGGCGGTAATGGTGCGCCGGATGGGATCTCGAGCTGCTCGCTCCTCCTCCTCCTCGCTCATGTAGGAACTATAGGCCGTATCCCGTTTCACATTGCCACCACCGTCATCGGTAGCCATTAGGCCCGAGGCATGGGTCATTTCAAAGATTGCATCCTCGCAGAAGTTTACAAAGGCCTCCAGTTTCTCCTTGTCACCACCCTCAGTAACGATGGAATAGAAGAAGGCACGCTTGGATTCGCGGATCTGCGGTTTTTCCCACTGCTCGATGTTTGAGTCCTTAATTTCGAAGTACACTCGCTCGATGCGCTTGGAGCTGCCCAGGATCTCGATGCGGCCCAGGAAGGGTTCGAAGTAGTTCAGCACCGAGCCGGCGGTCTCCAAAAAGCGCGCCAGGCGCGGTTCGTTTGGCATGTGTTCGCTGAGGTTGGTCAGCAGAACGGCCAGGTTGAAACCGATCTCCTTTGATGGTTCGTGGAAGTGCTCCACGAAGGCCCTGTAGTCGATCTTGCCCTCGTGGTTGCGCTCGCAACAGGCCAAAAGGAAATCCATTTCTTCCCTGTAAAATTCGGCATTATAATCTCTCTGGGAATAGGGGAAGTCTTTAAGTGTACTTACGGAGTGTAGTTCTTGGACTGCTCCATTTTTTCTCTAAAGTCTTTGGGTGTCACCCAACCCTCGTTTTTCATGTCAACCTCGTGGAAACTGGGCGATTCGATGAGATCAGCCAGTTTCAGGAACATGTCGAAGTACTTGAGAATCAGTTCCACGTTGCTGGCGGACTCCACCAGCGTGTCCACCATCTGTTTGCCAATGGTGCCTGGTGAAAAGGAGAATATCGTTAGTTTTTCAAAGTTGCCAACCAAATCCCCTTACCATTAACAACATTTCCTTCCAGCATAGACAGCATCATAGTGATCATGTCCTTTTGCAAATTCAGCAGCTCCTTGAGCAGATCCACCTGGCTGGAGTGCTTGGACAGCTTATCCTGCATGTGGGAGAACAGGAAGAGGAAGCCACCTACAGCATCCCACAACCTGGAGTGGGCCAATGCCTGCTGATTGAGGGTACAAGGACCCTGGATGACCTCAGTTAGAGTGTTAAACACTTGGCTTGCCACTTCGATGGCTTTAAAGAAATTGGCCTTGCCGGCGGGATCAATGATCTCCTTGCTCGAATAATGCCAGTAAAAGTCCATGATGGACTCCTGCAGACGCAGCAGGTAATCCACAGTGCAGATGACAACGTTTACGGTGGTGGTGTTGCCGGCTTGAGTCCTCAAATAGTTTTGCCATTCTGTAAAGGATTAGGTTGGGGATGCATTTTCTCAACACTTAGCAATCAACTCACCCAAATTGTGGCCCTCACAGGTGAGCTGGATGAACCGGAACAGCGCACAGGTGAACTCCGCGTCGTGCATGTTCTTCTCGCCAGCGGCACCCTCGGAACCTACACCAAGACCTGCACCCGCACTCGGAATATACTCTTTGTTCGTGTGGCAATTTTGGGTGGATTGGAACAACGATAGCGGGAATCACGTACACGGGATTTGTGGGTTGGTTGGTGGTAGTGGCATGCGAGGCATGGTGGTGTTGGGTGGTTGGGTAATCAGTTGGAAGGAAGTAGACACAAATCAATAAAGTAATCAAACTTAGAAGAATGCGAACCAAAGTTAACGGGAACGGCAACTGAAAGCTGGAGGACATTGGCGGGCGGGATCACGGGGCGAATGGACTTACCCTCTGCTTTGGTGTTGCGCTCGAAGGCGTCCAGGTCCAATACACTGCAGGAGTTCATCAGTCCGGCGATCGAGGTGAAAAAGCCGACGTCTTTTTTTTCCTTCAGGTGGTTGAGCATGCCCATTTGGATGTCGATGTTGCCGCCGCGCAAAATGGCGATGCCGAGATTGAGTGTCGTCATTACCATCTCCGAAGGTATACCTTTGGAGGCGGAAATGTGCAACAGCACCATTTCGGCAACGCCACGATTGGAGAGACGTGCCTGATGGAAGAGCAGTTTCTGCTTCTCCATCTCTTGTTCCTGTGAAGGGAATAACAATTGGTTATAACCTGGATAATTCAGGATAGGATATAGGGCTTTAAAGCTGCAAAAATAAAGCGGTATATTAGTGATCTCAGCTGATTGAATAGTTACCATTAATTGCCTCATCCGACACTGAGTCAGACATATCGGGTTTTGGGATATTAGCTGGTGTTAGTGGGTTTAAGTTAGTTGCGATCGACTTACATGGATGCTGGTGCCTTCGCCCTCTTCGCCTCCCTCACCGCCCTCCTCGTCGCCACCTTCCTCCTCCTCCTTGCCCGTGGACTTGGCCGCGATTTGGGCATAGGACATATACAGCAG